TGGGTATGAGATAGCTTCATGGGCTGAATTTGTATGTGTTTTCAACGTTTCCTAAAATGTATCCAAGTTTCAACTCTATCGCACCCTCCATTTCGCCATATTTACTTTAAAAACTCAGAAACGTACAATACTGCAAAGTCAATTTCGACCATTCAAAAACTCGGAGAAAGACGAACAACTGTACTCTTGCATTATAGCCTCGTTTTCATTCAATTTTAATAGGACATTCTTCCTTGACCTCATAGAAATGCATACCACGTCAGTGTCGCGCGTTCCCCGATCTATGTGCGAATCGATAGACCCCGCGCAACTCCGCTCTAGGTGCTAAATGATTAAACTGAATTTTGGTGACGTTGAAAGATGCATCTTTGGTAGAGCTTGGGGGTGGGGGTGGGGGTAGAAATCGAAATTTCTCAAAATTTGGACATACGTGGATTGCGTGTGACAGCGCAGACAGGCTTACGCCTGCAGCAACGGAGTCTGAGCTATTTAAGGAATGAAAAACCCAGGAAGGTTCCAAGCGACATTCGAGTCTCTCTCTCTCTCTCTCTCTCTCTCTCTCTCTCTCTCTCTCTCTCTCTCTCTCTCTCTCTCTCTCTCCCTCTCTCTCTCTCTCCTCCCCCCCTCTCTCTCTCTCTCTCCCTACTCTTTCTTTCTATCTCATCCCTCTCCTCTCCCCCTCTCTCTTTCTATCGCGCTCTCTCCATCACACAAACACACACACATCCCCCCACACACACGATACGGGCACCGGAGGAAAAGCAATTTCTACCACTTACTAATTGATGGCCTCTGTCGTCACACTTTTGTCACCGACCGCGGAGGTCGAAGGGCGGGGCGAAGGCCACACCCAGACTAGACAGACCGGGACCCGCACCATGTTGCCCGGGTATTTTAATGGGATCCATCATGATATTGTATTGTGTTGTATGGTATTGTCGAGGTCATAGGAGAAAGCGAGCCGGTGACTCAGCAGCATAATCATCACGCTCAACCAGGAACATGGTAGTCTTTTAAGTCCGTTAGTAAAATGATTTGTTTGTTTGTTCGTCCATTTGTTTGTCTGTTTGTTTAGTATAGGGTTTTACGGCGCTCGCAACTGCATAAGGTCATATGAGCGCATTTGTTTGTCTGTTCTTATATAGAGAAGCACATCCACATAATAATGGCCATTCAGTGAAGGAAATCACAGAAGACAGGCAGACCGACACACAGACAGACAGAAACAACAGAGGGGAAGAAAAAAGGAAAAAGAAAGAAAGAAAGAATCTTTTCCCACAGAAGACTCACTCGATTTTATTTTATTTTTTCTTGGGGGGAAGGGGTTGTTCTAGTGAGAGTTTTAAGGCACTTGCAACACAGTTAGGTGATATATGTGCGGAAGATTAGGGGGCTTTATATAAAGGAGTACCAAAAAACAAAAAACAAAAAGAGGAGAGATGAGGACAGCGGCAGAGATGTTTAACAGGAAAGAAGGAGCAAACCACACCGGAGCACCCTACAACCACCCACACAGTCAATTTTTGCAATAATTCAATTGGCCAAACATTTCATTTTAATTTACCACCCTTGCCCCAAAGGAGATGTATAATGTATTCGTATTTAATAATAATAATAATAATAACACTAGTAATAATAATAATGATGATATCAGTTTCAATTTATATATATAGTGCATTATCCACGCTCTGCAGCCTGCTCTGTGCGTTTTACAAAACTGTAATCTAAATATTGTGACTGTCGATGTTTTACACTCCTGTCAACACAATGTAGATCAGTTAGGAGGAAGGCTGCTTCCACCCTGCCTGTCAGAGCTAGCCCGCAGGGAGATGGAGGCAACATCCTAGCAGACAGATGTTGATACCTCCCGACGAGGGAACTGAACACAAGTCTTCTGTTTGTAACCAACCACTACATCACAGGCGCCGGAACCCATAGTGTTTTTAGTTTTAGTAGGAGTTTTACGGCACTTGCAACACAATAAGGTCATGTAAGTGCTGAAGAATAGATTATGTGTTACAAGAGAGTAACATACACAAAAAAGAAGAAGGGGAGATAAGGACGACAGATGTTTGATAGGAAAGAAGAAGCAAACCACACCAGAGCACCCGCCAACCACCCACCACCCATAGTTGTGAGGTGCTCAAATACTATCACCACACACACAAACACAATTTATCATTTTTAAAGTAAACAATTACAAAGTACACATACATGTATTTATGTATTGGAACAGACATAGAGAGTTTGATATTCCTTTTACCACTGTAAGCTAAATTGAGAGGCAGGACGTTCTCTGAATAAAACATTTTCATATCGAGGTAGACCCCCCCCCCCCCCCAACCATCCAATTTAAAGATGCCACTGGGGATTTAAACCAAGGTCTTCAACACCAAAGCTAAGCATGACACCAACTGGGCTGATGGAGCGGCCCCTGATTAAAATAGGATTTATACAATGAACTGAAAAGTACCTTTTCCAGGTAAACAAATTCCAGTTTAAGGTCTCAGAACCAAACTCATGGCCTTACAAATACAAGTCCATAATCATAAATCACTTTTACAAACCTAAACTAAGCCATAATTATGGTATTTGAACAGAACATTTTCACAGAACAAAAACCATGAAGTGACAACACTTTGTAACCCCCCCCCCCCCCTCTCTTTTTCCAATCATCACACACACACACGACAATGCTAACAAACTACTTTTTCTAGGCTTTTGAACTCGTTTTTCAAAGTCTCTGAAATGATAGCAACAAAACCAATTACATTTTTTTAAACACAGCAACTAACCTGTCAGGATTACTGGGCATCCCTCAACATTAACATTGAAAGGGTGTGTTAAGAGAAATTAGTCATTTCTTCTTTCTCCTCTTGAATCCCATTCAAAATCCTTACTAAAAATTATTACTGCAATTGTTACTTTTTACCTGTCACAACATAATGAACAGAAATTAAATAGTATAGTTTAGGACGTAGGCTGCTGAACTGACCCAAACTAAACCAGTAATTGGAATAGCATCCCAGCAGACAGCAAAGATACCTGATTTTAAAAAATATATCCCCACTCAAGAATAAACCTCACATTGTCTGCATGACACAATGACGAGCTTTAACCGCTACACCACAGAAGCCAATCCCAATCTTTGGACAGGTTAGCAAAAAAAACAAGCACAGCAACAACAACAACATATAAACCAAATGGTCATGACAGTTACCACTCCCCCTCCCCCTTCAGATGAGACAATACTCACTTCTTGATGGCAACTTTCTCGTTGTTCTCCACTGTGGTGGCAAGGAGGACACTACCGTAGGTGCCATCACCCAGCTGCTTGGAGATCTGGTAGCGATTCATGGTTGCCTCCTTATCTTCTCAGGGTGCCTCGGGGAAATCCCTCCACAAAGGTTGTCACTCTTTTAGTGTCTGTCACACAGCCAATTGTCTGCCCACACACAAAGACTGTCAAGTTTCCAATCATTCAGCGCACAGCCAACTGTCAGCCCACGCACACACACCACATACACCACAAGTCAAGTGCCTGGCTCTCCTCTTGATTTTGATTCTCAGCTGTCTCTGAGCTAAATTTGTCAGTCTAAACTTTGATCTAAGTGAGAAAGCAGAGGACTTCTTGAAACACTTAGTTCATACAAGAGTCCATAAAAGACAACTGTCTCCATGTTCACATCAAAACAGCGACTTGCAGGGTAATAAACCTGCAATGGAAGAAAGAAAATCATGTCACAGTGCTTTCTGAAAATATAAACAAAGAGCAAACACGTTTTAAATCTGAATTCAAAATTATAATGGCCTCTCACTTTCATCTACTATAGCAACATTCCCAATCTCTGGAGGAAGGAAAGAAAATATTCCATTCTAAACTGAGATGATGCTTAAATACTATCATACAAAGGTGTTAAAGGTTGAGTCTTAGTCTCCCAGAACTTAGAATCAAAGTATTATTAAGCCTGAGATATATCAGTGTGACATGCAAAGTGATTTGAAAGTGTAAATATGACACAAGGGGACCTGAAATTGTAAATGGCACAAATGTGCCCACAAATTGAAAAAGTCAATGACTATGTAACCAGCAATGTGATATGAAAGGCTCAATGATGACGCAAAAAAAAGTGATCTAAAAAACTAAAAATGTCAATGACACTAATCTGACTAAAAAGTACCAAGTATCAAAGACAAAAATTTAATATGAAATAAAAGTATTTATGACACAAGTGTAATGTGAAACTGTCATTGAGCATGTTCCAAGATTTAACAGCAGTGTGTCGACTAGTAAATATTTCAAAAAGTGTTATTTTGGTATATATATACAGTAATCTCTGCTGAAGATCCCAGTGCTTGGGAGCAAGGAAAATGCCGGATCTTAGGCAAATGGGATCTTAGCTGATGCACCAAGGCAAGAATCCATGGTGACCCACAATCGGTTTAACTCTTTATCTCCGGCAAGCTGCTCCCAGCGGCTCGCGGTCGGAACTGCTGTGCCGTTGAGGCTCGGGCACATTCCTTTACGACGACTTCGACATCAAATTATTTTTTTAAACAGGTTTCTTTTACCGGAAGTTCATTCATTAGATGAAGTACTATCATAATAGGTTCGCTAGTTTCGATTAAATGACCCATTTAGTGACGTTATTGTAATTTTTAGATTTCGTACTAAAAAGGCCCCTGACGTAGTGGGTTTACCCCTCTCGGAGATAAAGGGTTAATGGTCTCCCTCTAATCTAAAATGAACTGATGGGACCTTTGGGTCGATTTATGACTTATGTCGAGCAAAGAGTGGTCAACTTTGATGACCAATCACAGTGGCATGAGGCATGCCATTTTCACTTATTATCCTATTATGAGTCTCAAGATCTCCGCTCATCCAGTAGTTCCTCCCCTTTACCTGTCCAAAATTTACAGCGCTCTGTCTCTGATTGAGTTCCCCCGCTTTTGTCGCACCACTATGTTGTGACCACACCAATTAAAATTCAGTCTGTCTAGAAAATTTGGGAGTGCAGACACCTGCTGCAATGGTTACCGAAGACTTCATAGTTTGATGTGATTCCATCTGAAGCAAACTAGTAGGCCCTACCCATCCAGCATGTGATGGAAGTTTAGGTGGAGAGCTCAGATGCGAGTGTGATCTCTGGGGGGAAAACAAACATGCCGGTGAGTTCACACCTAGGTGTGATCCCGGGGGGCAAACCCTGTATCGTTTCATCAAGATTTACAAAGGACTTGTGATCACTTCACTCTCTGACCCCTCCACCAGGGCAGTGCTACTGACTGAAGTTGTCTTTAGGCCATCCCAAAGGGGAGAAGTGAACATGCTCTTATGTACAGTAGAATTGTAAATGTGCTGATTTATCAATGCCATGCTCATACTGTGCCAGAACAACGTAGGGGGAACTGCTGCTTTTTCTTCCCTCATCCTTACTATCGTCATTTTCCCTCTACTTCTTTTGCATGTTTGTCACTCTCTTGTGAACTGTTATTTCCGAGGTGCCTTGAAAGTCGAAGCAGACTTTGTGCTGTGGAGGCTAGAGAGGAGAGCAGAGTAAGCCTGATTCCATGTTTGGACTTCTCTGTTGACATGCACCCCTTGGCGCTCATATGACCTTATGCAGTTGCGAGCGCCATAAAACCTTACTAAAACGAAACAAAGACTCTCTGATCACATTCATGTCTGAGCGGCTAATCTGTGACGCAACAGGCAGTCCAATGATTGCATATTTTCACTCTTGGTTGATCTTCTGAGCCCACCTGGTTTTTCAAGTCTTACGTACATTATGATCTGAAATGCATGCATGATCTTAGTCTAATGTTTACCTTCAGAGCGGGATCTGAGGGATGACAATTGACACTGTGTAAAGTAAAAATTTTGTTTTCTTACAACAGAGGCAGGGATCTTATGTGAACCTGGATCATAAGCGGTGGAATCTTAGGCGTAGACAACTGTAATTTAATTTCAACAGTTTTAGTAGCCATATGCGTGATCTGCATGCAGCAAAAATTAAGTTGCAGTTAGTGTGACCCCGAAAGCAGTGCATCTGTTCGCGGGAGTGAAAGTAAAAATTTACGAAATGATAAACTCTTTATCTCCAATGGGTATAACCCCACAAAGCCGGGGTCCTTTTTTGGTAGAACATCTAAAACTGACATACATAGGTCACTAAACTGGTCAATGAATTTAAAAAGTGAAACTGTTTTGATACACTTCTTCATCTAGCCTAATGAATGAACCCTGATAAAAGAGACCTGTTTACAGCAACTGCTGAAAAGTGTAACCGGTCATTTTGTCACATGGTCATCTCGTCACACCCCAATTATATGTGATGAAACGACTTCGCTTATAGAATCTATATCTCTCCAAAATTGTTACGCTAGTAGAGTTTTGGAGGATCAGCCTAATGCTTCTTTTGAAATTATGATTATTAATGTAAATTAAATCTTTCTTTGTCTAAACTGCTTCCATAATAGCTGAACAATAATTTTTAACCCTTGTCCTGCGGGGGCCGGGTTAATGTCGCGCGATAAGCCTAATTCGGCACCTCGCCTTCATTCTGGTCCCGCGTCAATCTGGCCCCTGGCAAAGCGCACGCACGCTGGGCATTATCTCCCGTTCAATTCGGGTCCCACGTCGGATCTGCATTCACGCAGGTCAAGTATATGTACGTCAGTCTGCTTGAGTTTGTGTGCGTTTGTGGCCATCTTCTAGAACCGCCTGCGTTGGTTCATAACCGGAGCATACGTCTCATTTAAAAAACATGCCAAGTTGGTAGCTCTAGATGTTTGTCCAATGAAATTATAGAACAAATTGACCCAATTGGACAGGAGGAGCTCGAAAGGATAGTCAGGAAACAAGACTTCCATTTTTCTATACAAAATCTTTCAAATGAGCTTGATTTTGTATGAAATGATACTACATGATAAAAAATAAGCTTCTTGTTTGATAGTTTTGAATACCATTGTGCAGGTAAAAAGAACAATTTGAGTCCAAAACATTCGGAAATTCATCTATATTATCCCCTTTCGAACCCCAGATCATTCATAACAACAAGAGCATCTAAAAAGGTTATTCGAATGGGCGTAACTACTCGTAATGTCTTATCAGCTTATGAAAGGGGGTTTGTGTGTTCGTAATACTTTATAAAATAGAAAGCTATAAAACATAGAGCGTTATTTTCAACATCGATTAACACACTCCCACGGTCTTCATGGCGAAAACACACGTTTCCAGGCGTGCTCGTTGTACACCAACAGTACACACTGAGTGACCCTGGCGGCCTGCCCGGAACGTCCGACGTAATCGGTTGCCGATAAGATTAGCATCTTAGCATAGACGCAGGACAAGAGTTAAAATAAGGCAAAAACAATGTCTGGTAAGACTTTAAAATTGAAAGTGAGGGTCTAGCTTTATATAGCAAAATTGCAGTACCGTACATTTCTATTAGCTAATTTATTTTATACAGAACTAATAAGATCTTGCCAATCACACCTTTCATCAATAATCATCATCCAGTGCCAGATCAGCGACAGACATCGGTGATCATGATTCTCCATTCATTCCTTTGCTCGGATGCTCTCAAAAAAGCTACATTTCGTTTCCCTGATCTTTCCCTGTTATCCATTTGTTTAGGTTCCCTAAGTATGTTGTTCTGGGCCTACCCCTGCCTCGTTTGCCCTCAATTTTGCCAGTGAAAGCTAGCTGTTCAAGACCCTTTATGTCTATTCAGGAGTCCCAAAAACTGCACTTGGACTTGTCATTTCCTGATTGTTTTTAACATTGAGCGTCCCACGTGGGCTTCATCAAGCACTACATTGTTTGATTTCTTTTCCTTCCACGATACTCTTAGCAGTCTCCTAAGAAACCACATTTCTGTTGCTTATATTTTATTTTCACTGTCTTTAATGATAATAACGGTACTTAAAAACTTTGTTGATCTGACTCAATATATTTCAATTGTCAATAGACCTACATATTAATGAACGGTACTGTAGCTGATCAGGTAGGCATGAAGAAGCAGCCCCCCCCCCCCCCCGTCCTTCCACACAGACCCCCAACCCTCCCCCCAAAATCCAGGCTTGCAATTGCCATGACAATGCGCGTTTGATGTTTGCGTGTGTGCTACATGACCATCTCCATTCAACCTAGTGGATTTGGGGTGTGACAAGATGACTGTGACGTCTTGACTGCACCAGTGTGACAAAATAACTGTGTGACGAAATGACTGGTGTATACGAAAAGTAATTTGACGTCAAAGTCATCAAAAAGGAATCTGCTAGAGCCACTGCCAGCCGCTCACCGGCACAGCAGTTCGCCAGATATTTATTATTTTTATAAATAAGTTAAATAGCAAAAATGAGGTAAAACATAAAGGCCTAAACTTTATAAGTCATAAAGTAAATTCATTTAGGCCTAAATAAACAACAGAAAAAATGTACGAAAATAAAGGGGATTAGGAACAGATCTAGTAGTCAGGAACGAGTCAAAAAGGCTTGATTCAACACCCAAAATCATTTTTATAATGATAGCCTAGATCTAGAATCTAGTAACTATGAATTTATAGCCTAATAAATAAATTTAATTTTATATTTATTTAATAGTTTGAAAATTGTTTTCTCATCCTTAGTAGTGTAAGTCTTAGTCTTAGTGACTTTAGCAGCCAAGTTTTTTTTAAATCCCAAACTTTAATGTTGACATTCTCATAACCTTAGAAAAAGCTAGACTTGAGGGCAATGCAGGAATAGAAGGGGCCAAAATCACCTCTCACAACACCAAACACCACACCACAATACAATCTCATCTCTGGAACTGGAACCGAGTGAGTGAACGCGATTGGAAAGTAAAGAACTGACTTTGATCCTTCGCTCCCTACCCGGCTGCCGTTACTGTCCACATACACCAAACATGGTTTCAAACCCAAGTAAATCTATAAGTAATGAAATATCTCCCTTTCATTAAATTGTAATTAACATACCGCCGACGAGATACACATGAGCACTTCCCAAAAGAATCATGGCATTCCACAATCGGCCGCCATTTTGTTGTTGCTATTTTGTATTCGATTGTTTGTCACGTGACTAAAATGTAGCAACGCTGGGAGAGGGTCAGTGCAATATCTGGGTTACGAAGGAGCAAAACACATCGAGATTTTTTAAGTTTTCAGAACACTCATTAGGGCCTAGGCTAGGCCCAAAAAAAATAATTTATCTTTTTTTAAAAATGCATTAACTTCTACTGACTCACTTCTATTTAATTTATACTTTTGTGGGAATGGGTACAAGCAGTTAGAAATCTAAAGATGAAAGTTTAATTTTTGAGGAAAGTTACAGTTAAATAATTGTATCATGAATTGAGAGAGGGGGCGGGCATATTAGATCCTTGACATCAGGCACCAACGTTTTCTTTTAGAGCACCCGGTAAAAATCAAAATGAAAAGAAACCGAAGCAAAACTGGTAGCGTGTAGTGGGTATTCATGTGTTCATTACGACACCGACTATCTATTGGCCTATTTAATTATTAAAGTATAGGTCCCTATGCCTGGAAATTGTCGTAAAACTAGTCCAAAAAGTCTAAATAGAAGTTCTTGTGGACCACAAAAAGACTTCCAACGGAACAAAAAGGGAGAATTTTTTTTTTAAGTTCTGAAGAGTCTGGTAACCTTTTTTTCTGGGAAACATTTTTCAGTGATGCGCCCTCGACCCAGGGAGAATACTCAAGGCAAGATCCCCACCCCCACCCCCTCCCTCCCTCAGATTTTTGTCTTACGAGTCGATCCCCAGTTTGTTTTCCGGAACATAATATAATTGATCACAACCTTGTTTCTTCAGGAGAGCCTGCCTTAGAACACTGACGGTGGTCACTCAATCGAATCTGTGGAGTGGGAATACGTACGGTACCGTTTGCATACATTCAATATATTATTCTTACTCAGATCAGGGTTAACTGTTGCAGCTCTTTTAACTATTAAGAACCAATTAATAAATAATCTCTCATCTGCCCAGGTGAAGTGAATTGAAGGAAAAAGAATAAAGCAGGAGTCTCTAATTAACGAACGACAGCTTTTAAATGATAAAAAGCTACATACATGTACATGTATTGAAAATGATGAACAAGGCCACGAGTGGTGAAATTTATCATGTTCACAAGAACAATACGAAGTGTCGTTACCAATGTAGATCTAATTATATTTCTCGTATAATTTTTGTGTAGATCTAGATCAAAACAAGTCCAGAAAAATTTGACATCTCTCTCTCTCTCTCTCTCTCTCTCTCTCTCTCTCTCTCCCTCTCCCTCTCTCTCTCTCTCTCTCTCTCTGTCTCTCTGTCTCTGTCTCTCTCTCTCTGTCTGTCTCTCTCTCTCTCTATGTCTCTCCCTCTCTCTCTCTTTCTCTCTCTCTCTTTCTCTCTCTGATCTCTCTCTCTCTCTCTCTCTCTCTCTCTCTCTCTCTCTCTCTCTGATCTCTCTCTCTCTCTGATCTCTCTCTCTCGACTTTCACTCACTCTCTTTTCTACCCCCCCCCCCCCCCTCTCTCTCTCTCTCTCTGTTCTCTCTCTTTCTGAATCAAGTGCACTTGATATACTTAAAACTTTTTATTTGTGATCTTCTTTGAGCTTAGATAAAAGGTTAGCGTAATTTGAAACTGCAATCGAAACAAAAATCAGATTCTGCTGTTGTTAGTGCTGTAAGACAGTATGAGTGACTGCTGGTGTAAGTGTATTTTCAGTTTTACTTGCTTTCTCTTTTTGAATGTGAGGATCATTGCAATGGGCGCCGAGCAGAGATAGGAATTATACGATTGGTTATTGCTCAAGACTACTACATATTATGGGAACTAATGGTATTATGTGCTGTCCATTCACTATCTTTCATTTAGGCCTATCTTTTATTTCTGTTTTTCTTTTTGACTAAAGTATGTGAAGGAAAAAAGTGGAGAATAATTCTCCTTATACATGTGTAATAACATGTTGGCATTGTCTAATCCATCTACTCGTTTTGTAGACATTATTAATTCCGACAAACTTGTATTCTATTAAGATATTTCCATTTTCTGACAGGGGTGGGGGTGGAGGTGGGCTTCAACTAAATTCAACTTTTTTTTTTGCCGGAACATGTAGTTTTAAATCAGACTATGAGCGACATGAATATAAAGTTTTATTTCAAACTATTCAATTAATCGAAAGCACGATGGAACGACGTAGCCATGAAATTACTCCCCTTAGGCATGAACTCATCCCGGAATAGGAAATGACGTCACATCAAGTGAAAACTATCGTCTGGAAGCTAAATCTTGTGACACTGCAAGTTCATTTCGCTTGTAAACAAATATGATTCATACACATTGAGAAATAAAGAATGAATGAGAATAGTCTATTTTCTTAACTCTACATTAGTGTTCAGACGTACTTGTAGTGTAGCCAAAGGAGAGAATTTTATTTGACAAGTGACGTCATATTGTCATTGACTCTCACTGCTCGATATCTTTTTCATTACTCGAACGCGGAAGATGGCAAAGAAAACGTACGATTTATTGTTCAAACTGCTGCTGATTGGAGACTCCGGTGTGGGGAAAACTTGTTTGTTGTTCAGATTTTCAGATGATGCTTTCAACACTACGTTTATTTCGACCATAGGTATGTTAGATCGAGACTCTACTTTCAACTTTGTTCTTGTTGATGTTGCCATCATGTCATCATGTTGGATTTGATCTCCACTGATGTCAGTCACTGATGATGATAGAATTATAATTTATAGGCTAATTCTATTCTAGATTTTAGATCTAAATCTAGAATAGATCTAAAAGATAATGCAGATTAGGTTATCGTATCAGACCATGTATTCATTTTAAAAAATAAAATGCATTGACATTTGATAAATCTAAGGCAGACTAAGGCCAGCTCTATTCTCACCCCGGGTGAGAATAGCGCAGGCGCGCCTTTTACTTTTGGCTATTCTCACCCGGTGTGCGTTCACCGTTATAGTTAGCCTTGGCCAACCAGTGTAGTGTTCACCCTGAACCACAGAATTTTACACTGTGATACAACAGAATTGTAGAATTCTGTGCCGTGACAAACATTCCAGTGTGCTCTTCTTGTGTTACAACTGTTACTGTTAGCCTAAAAGTGTGCAATTTTGTATGTGGACTGGGCAGTGGAGAGAGAGAGGAGTAGCGCGAGAACTTCCGGGCAAAACAAAATGGCGACCCGCGTAGTTAGGCTCGATTCGAAAAGTTAAATAGCCGTAGCATCTTTTTTGACAATCAAATTAATTTACTTAAAATTGTGTTAGCATCATTTTTTATCTTTGTTTTGGTCAGTTTGATTGTCCACATCGATAGACAGTATTCAGAAAGAGACACAAAGAGAGGGGAAGAGTAGATCTTGCGAGAACTTCCGGGCAAAACAAAATGGCGACCCGCGTAGTTCGGCTCGATTCGAACCATAGCATCTTTGACTTTGTAGACGATCAAATTAGCTAGCAATGCCAATCGCCCGCTGCGCCTTGAGCCGGAAATCGGCCTCCGCGCGAGGGGTGTTTTTTGGGCCGCTTGGAATCAGAAGTGACTCTCTTCTAAATATTGTTACGGGAAAACTCGTGGACGAAAATAAATGAAACTCGGCAACCAATCAGAGGAAAGGTTAAACTAACGACATGCCAGCGTACAATCCCGAACGATTTCTAGATCCGGAGATATTGCCGTGTTTGTGCGAATTTCCTCTGCGGTTCAAAAACTTAAGCGGAGCTGCGGGTTGATCGCCGACCACAGAGGCGCCTCACATGTCTTTTTTATTGCTGTAAAATTTCAGATCTCTACGCTTAGTACATTTTACGTACCAACTTAAAATTACCACCCATCCATTGATAAAACACTAGAGCTGGAAACTAGATCACGCATTCCAAACGCGAGGTGCGGGCATGCAAGAGGCGCGTGATCGCTAGGCGGCATGTGATTGGCTGCCTATAACTAAATAGGTCACCGATGACTTCATCGCAGGTTTTCCCGATAGCGCTTTACTGAGTTTTAGAAGGGGCGATCGCGTCACGGTAAAAACGATGTCACGCAATTCCACAAATTTCACGCAAATATCAGTCTTTAAGATCCAAAGTAATAAAGACATCGAAAAAGTGATAAAACTTACAGAACTAGATTCTGCACTAAAAATCACACGAAGATGCCAAGTTTCATTCATATATATGCTCCAATTCATTACTGACTTATGAACAGTTTTTCCTCAAAATACATCAAGACATCCCACATTTTGGCGATATTTTCCTATGACATGAAGGTCCTCCAAAAGTTTGCAAACAAAAATCCTAATAACTTTTTTATTTATCAATGTATTTTTAAAATTTAAAAACCACAGTTCTTAGAATTTACTCTATTTTCATTTAAGCCCATTTTAAAGCAATTTGGATGAAAATTTAATTTTTCTTTGGCATTGCTAAATTAGCTTACTAAACTTTTGTGCCATAACGTCATTTTTTCTTAGCTTTTGTCAATTTGATCATCCACACCGATAGACAGTAGTCGGAAATTAGGAAAAACAGGTCTTGTTTCACACCGGGTGAGAATGGCCAATGCTGGGGTGAGAGGTCGATCGTATTTTTGTTCTCACCCTGGGTGAGGATAGCCACTTCCTAAATCTAATGTTTACCGTCGTACTTAGACTGCTTTCTTTGTGCAATGTCTGGTTGTTCTAGATTCTAGTTCTTTAGACTTAATATATAAAAGGCTAAACTTTTAGAATTTAATTTATAATCTAGTCTAGATCTAGATTAGATCTCTAGGCCTACACTCTCTCTCTAGATCTATATATATAGATTCTATAAATAATGAAGAGTTAGATTCAAAATCAATTCAGATAGCAGCACTGTGTAGACTGTAGATCAACAACATAGTTTAGTTCTAGATTCTAGATCAAGAGAATCTCCTCTTCTTCTTCTATACCGTGGTTGGGGCAACCATGGGGGCACCACTGCATCTGACAACCAGCTCTCACCCTTTCTCTCTGTCCTCTGCTTTCCTCAGATTGTCACCCATTGTCTCCCCAGTCCAGTCTGTGATGTTTTCCTCCCTTCTCCTTCTCTTTCCTTGTATGGTTCCTTGTAGGATCTAGAATCTACAAGACTACAAATTAGCTATAGATCTAGATCTATATATGTTGGGCACGATCTGTCGATTTACGCAGCGCATTTGGTTGATCGAGGAAACGCTCGACAATCCATCGATTGTTGCGCATTCTGTTGATCAACGGATCGCGCAGCGCTTTCTGTCGATCCGTTTGGTTGCGCATTCTATAAATCTTACCCCTGAGTTTTGTTATGTTTTGTTGTCGCCCAGAGTGTAATTTGTTTCACTCACCAAAGTCAAACCGAAACTGAATGGAAGTAACTGGAAGTCAGGGTTTCAATAACGGAAGTTGAAATCAGGATTATAGGTCGGTGAGTATCACTCCGAACACTTGTTAAATTTTGAGTGGTTCAAGGCGATAATGGAGAAGGAAGCGCAGTTATTGTCTAAAAATCCTGGGTCTGTTTTTTTGACAAAAGAGAAGTTTGACATGATTGTTAAACCAACACACAACAATTTATCACAAGCCATTAAATCTTGACCGTGTTTGGAATACCTCGTGAAGTACTCTGCCAATCAAGTCCATCCCAACACTGAGAGCAGGTGCTCGATTTAACGATTTAACGTTGTGTCAATTTATCTGCCTCACTCAACCGTCAGCACTGTTCAACACACAACTCTTCTTGGAAGCAAAACAACAGGACGTCAAAGACTGACATGCTCAGTAAACCAATTTTCTTTTTTTTTTTATTCACTTGATCATCATAGTTTATCGATAAAATGCGCTGTAAGTATATTTCATGTATCGACAAAAAGCGCTGCGCGGTCCGCTGATCAACAGAATGCGCAACAATCGATGGATTGTCGCGCGTTTCCTCGATCAACCAAATGCGCTGTGCGATGGATCGCACAAATCGACAGGTGGTGCCCAACATATATACTGCCCTCCTGCTTTTACTTTTGGTCTAGAATGTCTTTATGTGGTTACTAGTTACAGTAATCATTGAGTAGAGAAAGGAAATAAGTTCAATTAAATAACCATGCCCGTGTCAGTCTGTCTGCAGTCTGCTTCTAAATATTTACAATCAGTCAAATGTTGTAATGTAGAGATTTCTAGATCTAGTCTATAAAACCCATGGCTCTGTGCTGTACTTAAGGCCTACTTCTAAACCTAGATCTACACTTTTTTACTGGAAGAGTTCCGCAAGGGGGCCGGCCAGCACTTACCATGACAAGGTCCACTGGGCAAACTATAGAATCTACAAGAGTTAAGGTTAAGGTGTGTTGTTGGTCGGCTGGCTCTCTGCAGAATGCCTTCCGTTTTTACTGTTGATGTGACGATATTTTTTTACTTTCCCTCCCGTCCCACACTTAGCTACCAGTTGTCCATTTTCTACTAAATATTGATGCGCTGAACACGAATATATCAACTTCATTTCTGTCGCAAATTAATAGTTTTTAAAATATCTGATAATTCTTAATAGAGTTAGACGTGCTTTGGACCTATCGGAGGGTTCCAGGGGGGACTGGGGTAAAAGAAAATCTGGGGGGTTGCAATTTGATATTTTACAGTTAGATTTGAAGTTCTCTTGAAAATAATTCATTTGCAAACAGTGTTCCAGTTTGACACCCGCAGCAGTGCATTTGTGTGCGGGCGTGAAAATAAATATTTACCGATGTGACTATTACTTGTTTTTGTTGAGTTTTGAACTTCCTGCGTATGCAGAGATTGTATACCATTCGATGATGAATACCCAGCAAGTGGGCCAACTATGAATAATAAAAATTAGTAGCCTATTCTTTTACTTTCCCTCCCGTTTCAAAATTAGCTGCTATACATGTGCCCATTTTCTTCTAAATTCTAGATCTACATTTGATACGCTGAATACGGATATCGACCTCTTTTCCGTCACAAGTTATTAGTTAAAATATATTTTTATGGTTTATAATGGAACTTTATCACTCTAATAAGCCTAATTGCATAGTAATTCTGTGCTTTGAGCCAACGGGGGATTTCAGGGGGGTAGGGTGTTTAAATAAGATACAAAATCTGGGGGGTTACAAGGGGTTACAGAACTTATAATTTGATGTTTTGCAGTGATTTGCGACAGTTTTAGTGGCTATATGTGTGATCTGCAGCAAATAATAGTGCAGTTTGACCCCCAAGGCAGTGCATCTGTGTGCGGGAGTGAAAGTAAAAAATTACCTATGAATCTATGAATTTTGTAATAGAAAGCTATTTTTTAAATTTTTTATGGCTTTGTCGTGGGCAGGGTCATTTTGATTTTGTCATACGCTCTTGATATGATACCACTTGCCTGCTTTCAACTTTAACAGCCAGGGTTAGGGACTTCCAAAGTTGTGGATTTAAACTGAAGTTTTACTTCACACAGGACTGGATACATTGCTTTTTATTTTACGTCCTGTTCATTGGGATTGAGCTCCCTTGTGTTTTTTTTTACTCTTTTAATTTGACAGAAAGTAGATTCGGGCAATTTCGCCACTCTCAGTTGGCTCGCAACAAAACAAGCCTACACCCCTCTCTATGCTCAACGTACATAACCCAAGTTTCGTCTGCAACTTTTCGTAGCCAATGAAAGTGCAGATAGTCCCTGATTGGTTTGCTTGCTAGTCGTACTTCACCTACTTCGTTCTTTTTTCAAGTGGATGTGGTGACGGGGAACTTTGCAAGTCCTTTTGGGGAAATTCACCATACTGGGAGATCATCTTATTTCGTTATATATATATATGTAGATTATTAAACGCATGTAAAAACTGATCTTTTGTTAAATGGAAACTTGCATTTGCAGCTGCATTCACTTTGTCAACAATTTTATCTCTTCCCCTCTCAGCCCTCATTCCAAAAGTAGATCGGCCAGAGACATGGTCAGAAAGAGGTTTTTGGGAACAGTAAATTCCCAGGCTTCCTCGGAGCGGCTTTGTCCGCCTTAAATAGCTTCAATAGCTTTCTCTACATCACTTTAAGTATACTTGTCATTGATTCCCTTGCATGTTATTCCCATAATAAAAGTGGTAAATCTAAGTAAAATAACAAATGGAAAATCAATAGACCTGTGTGTGACTCTGTGGCGAAGTTCCCCAACGAGAGAGATGAATTTCGTCGACAAGGTGTAGATCTGAACATACGCAATTTTTTAACAGCAAAAGAGCACATAATTCATATAAACGACAATAAAATGCAGCAAATATAATACTTTAATCAATAAAGCAGTTTTAACACACAATTTGAGTAAAAAGTGATGTACAACAAAGGTAGTGAGCAGGAGACACAGAAAGATAAAAATAGCGCAGGTGCAGCAGAGATAAGAGCAAAAGAAGAGGACAGGGAAGATTAGTGTGGAGACACATGCTTTAAACACAGCGGTTATTCTTTGTCATAACAATTAATTTTTCTGATTGATCAATCAATTCACAGGAATTGTTTCTGGTTGCAAGTAACTTGAAACTTAACTCTTCCTTGGTGGGTGTATCGAATTATTCCCATTTTAAATGGGTAGGGGGGGACAGGTGGCGAATTTCCCCTCCTGGCAAAGGTACCCATATCTACTCTAGCCTTCAGAACAGAAAATTCCACCTGTCATCGCTGCAGTGTAGAGATGGTAAAAATTTGTCCCTGTGAGTCAGATTAGGAGGACATCCTGTGGATATGATGAAAGCTCACACTGCTGCAGGCTGTTAAAGCAAATTTTTTGCTATTACCCATACCTAGCTATTACTCACAACTGTGGTTTTTGGCTCTCTATAAACAGAACTATTCAGAGCTTTTTATGCAATCTGTGACATTCAAAATATTGCTGGGTATTTTTTGTTTGTTTTTTTTGTTTGGAGTTTTGTTGATGAAACAGAGGGAGCATTTTTGGAAGATACATTATCAGGCTTGCCATCTGTCTGGAGTTTCATGGAACTATCCTTGGCTATCAAGAATTTGAGCGCATGATACACTGTTCTCAATCCAGTTCCACTCGATTTAAGTTTGTGTGTTATTACGTAATCTAGTGTTATATAACCAGGGGTGCCGTTTTTCCGTTATTTTGGGCGGCGTCCGTTAGGAGCTTTGTTTTATTGTTGAACTGATATATGTGATCTTGTTTTGTTGCCTTTATTGCTTCGACGCATGCTACATATGATTCTAGTCTCGAAAAATTTTCCAGTTATTTTTACATTTATTTATAAGTCCAATGGCATCCCTGTATAACATTGGGTGTCCCTGATTGAGTTTTGAAAAAATTGGCAAAACTTTTTATTTTTGCAAATGGTATTTGACTAAATATTTCTTGATAGTTACTAATTCGTAAACTGCAGATATTTATGAGCTTTGAAAACTCACACTTTTAATCAACATATGTCCTCTATTATATCCATCATGTACTCATATAAATTTTTTTTATATATATGCTTTAGTGGTGGAAGATTTGTTTTCCAAAAAAAAGAAAGAAAAAATTAGAGTTTGAACAGGATGATCAGACATAGATTTCAGGTCTCAAGACTTGAATTTCATATGTTCTTCTCAAAGTCATCCCAGAGGTGGTTAAAGTATGCTTCATGCAGATTAACAATTAGGGGCATAATACTAAGGGCATCTTTTCCAGCCATCCTTTTCCTCCGTTGCCAGCTCTTTTATGTTTTCACTCTCAGCTGCTTGCTCACAATGAATGCTTGAACTACACTTACCCATACTGAACATGAGTATGAATCACTTGAACAACAGCATTGTTCTCATTTTAGTGAAGGGGATATCTGCATGGTCGTCATCTTCGTTAAGTTAGAAATATGAGATAGCACTTCAAGAAGTTCATGTTTGGTAACTTAAAACATTGGTAAACCACTATCACATACATGACTTAATGGAGCCATTGTGACTGACAAGAGTTTAAATTGTGAATTGTGTTTAGTTGCCTTGTTTAATATCTGCACATATAACACTCATCGCTTGCTCTATTCGAAAAAATTTTATCAGTTAGAAATTGCTTCCTTCTGTGTATTTCCCCTGCTGCTCCTCTCTTCAAGAATCTTTTCAAGCAGAGAAGTTCACTAGTCTGGCTCAATGTGGTATCATTAATGATTGGGCTGGGAGGAAATTTGAGTTCCTTGAAGGAGATATTATAAGTGAAAATGGGAATAATCCTCAGGTAGCATGCGATTTTAAGTTTGTAAGAGATAAGGTGTGAATGTACTGTTAATGTGGATACGCATAGTGTGTGTGTGTGTGTGTTTGGACGTGCAAATTTGTATTTGCATCATGTTGTGTATGTGTGCGTGTTTACACTTTTTTATATGCATTTTTGTTTTGTTTTTCTGCATGTTTATTGAGTGTTTTCTTGCATGCTACTGAATTCTTGGGCTTTAGTTTTGTAAATTTTATTCTGTCTTTTCCTGGGATTTTCCGTTGTTTCATTGATTCAGGGTTTATGTTGAATTTGATGTCAAGTCAATGTATGATGAATGGATACAAGATTCTTTGTATGAATCTAGATCTACATTGTGATACAAACTGCGCAGTTGATAGACTTTTTCAGTAGATGTGTGTCTGGGGCTCTCATGGCCTTGAGGTTAAGGTTTTCACCTCTCATATAAAGGTCCTGGGTTCTAATCCGGGTAGCGACCAAAAAATTTTCTTCTCTAAAATTGTCTCCTTTCACCTCCTTTCCTGCTCTCTAGCAATGTTCTGTCGTCTGCTTTCGTCTCCACTTTCTTCCCCCACCCCCTCCTCTGGGCTCTTGACTCTTTCTGTAGCCTTTCTACTGCTACTTCTTGGCTCCTTACTGCTGTCTTTCAGCCACACCCCTGATCTTCTGGTAGAAAAGATCTACACCTAGCCTTCTTGGACAAGGGCGAAAAATCTTGGATGTCTCGTGTGCAAGTTGCGCATGTTAAAGATCCCTTGGTGGTCTAAAATCGATAAGAGTAGGTTTCAGCCGCCACTGGGGCAAAATTCAAAATTTCCTACCAACTGTGTCCCATGCGCTCATATGACCTTATGCAATTGCGAGTGTCGTAAAACACTTACCCCCCCCCCCTCCCCAAAAAAGAAATGTGTCTGGTTGATAAAAGTAAAAGTTTTGTAGCAAGTGTATTATCTCAGGACAAAAATCGCTTCATTGTTTCATTGATAGTCGGCGAATGCCTCTTGTAGGTTCTTCCTTAGTATATTTCCCTTAGGGAAATGATTTATGTAATAAATCAGTTCTTTTCAAGTGAATTTTTTCCATAGTACAGAATTGTTACAGCAGGCATGTTTTGTTCCTCTATCTGTTTTATGCAGGAAGAAGAAGTTATGGTTTTTCAAAGAAACTATCTATTTTTCAGGAATTGATTTCAAGATCAAGACAGTGGAACTTGGTGGCAAAAAGATTAAGCTCCAGATATGGTATGTGTCTCTCTTGTCCTCCTGTTGCCTTGCATTTATAAATGTGTGAGGTGTGTGTGTGCACGACGTTTGTGTGCACATTTTGTGTGTGTGTGTGTGTGTGAATGTGCATATTTTTTACCCTCTTCTCTGGCCCTGTGGTTTTGCTGTGTCAAACATGTTGGTCACTGAGGATGTGTCAAACCATGCCAAATGAAACTGTGTATTATGTGTAAATGATGGTTCATCGATATAATGTCACAGCCTATGACATGTGAGTGGTGCCCGACATTGAATTGCCTATGTTAACGTTTCTGTGTGCTTTTTCTGTCCTTGTAGGGACACAGCGGGCCAGGAGCGTTTCCACACCATCACCACCTCTTACTACAGAGGCTCCATGGGCATCATGCTGGTCTATGATATCACCAACGTGAAGACCTTTGATAACATTTCCAAGTGGCTGAGAAACATTGATGAGGTAAGACATTCGTGGTGGGCTGTCTTTTGTACTGGGGTGGGCTGTCAGCCAGGAGATCAGTTGTACAAGAATTGTCTTTTTGTCTCTGACTTTTGAGTCTAAGACTTAAGTTTTGAGTTGGAAGTGTGTTAGTAGTTTACTTTTTTTGTGTATTAAATTGTGTATTGTGTCAGTGCCCTCGGACATGTTTGGGAGGGGGGTGCGCGCATGCATGTGTATGTCTTTTGTAAGGGGGAGTTGCAAACATTTGTCTGTGTGGGTAGGAGTATGTATGTAGTTTTGCCTTCCCTGGATGACTGGTGTGTTGTTGTCCCCAGCATGCTAATGAGGATGTGGAGAAGATGATCCTGGGCAACAAGTGTGACATGGACGACAAGAGACAGGTGCCTACAGCACGCGGAGAAGCGGTGAGTGGATTTCATGGGGCATTTTTGCGTTTACGAAACACACATACATATATGGACAGACATACGCATGAATGAAACAAACTACACACATGCATGCTCATGCGCTTGCACATGTGTGCTCACACATACACGCACGTACAATAAAAAAACCCACACACATGTATACACATACACAGACAAAAGCACACACACATACACACTTACACATATACAAATAAAACAATGAGATAATGTGACAGTGTAAGAACGCTGGTTCACACACTCAGACATACATGTTACTTGTCACCTTTCTTGGTCTGACTATTCTTCTACTTTTAAAAATGATGACCCAGTGACCCTGATGATATGGTTTGTGAGATAAGGTTTATTGAGTAAAAGTTGCAGGTAATGTTCTATTTTTAGCTCTGTCTATTAACCCCTGAGGCACTATCTGAGGACGTTAGTCATTGCTAGAGGAGTTGAATGTATCAGTGTGGTATTCTGCTATCTCTGGAATGTCTGCAAGTTCTTTATTAACTGCTTTGGTCAACAAGCTGTTCTGATGTATAGCAGTAGGATCATAGTTGGTCCATGTGCTGACTCCACAATCAAAACTTAGGATGGTCAAAACTTTTACCCCAACAATGAGCAGACATTTAGTTTGTTTTTACAGAGATCTTGGGGGGTGGGTGGGTGGTTGGGGGGTGTCAATTTGTTTTACAGGAAAGCCCATTTCCTGTGTCTGTACTAGTGGTTAGGCTTTCAGACTAACAACTGTAAGGTCGTGGGTTTGAATCCCACAGGGAGCCTAATGTTATGTCCTTGGGAAGGCACTTTACACAAATTTTCCTCACTTCACTCAAGGTGGGAATGGATACCTGGCTATAAATAGAGAAAAATCATGTCGGTGTTTAATCAGCTACTTGCTCTGTGTGCTTCCCGAGAAACTGAGAATGTTTCTGGGTGTTCTAGGGTCTGCTAGGGTAATAATATAGATTGTAATTGTAAAGCACATAGAGATTGCAGCTGAGCAAGGATATGCACTATACGAATGCTATTTACTATTATTATTATTACCTGTACTTGGAGGATTATCTGATTGGAATAGCATTTAGCTGACATGTAGTGTGTACAGTACCTCAATGTTCCAGACTTCTATTGTATGTGTACTGGATACTTGTATCTGTGTACATTCTTCAGATCGGCCGTGAACACAACATCCCGTTCCTGGAGACCAGCGCCAAGGCCAACATCAATGTGGAGAAAGCCTTCATGAACCTGGCACAGGCCATACTCAACAAAGTCAGTGATCTGTCGTCTGTCTGTCTGTCTGTCTGTCTGTCTGTCTGTCTGTCATTCTCTCTCTCTCTCTCTCTCTCTCTCTCTCTCTCTCTCTCTCTCTCTCTCTCCCCCCCTCCCTCCCTCCCTATCTCTCTCTCTCACTCTCTCTCTCTCTCTCACTCTCTCACACACACACATGCACACACACACACACTGTCTCTCTCTTATTCTATCTCAAGATGGAGTCTGGTAGTTGAAAATGTAACAAAGACCAGCTTCTGTTGAGTACTAATCCAGGTAATGTTAGTTTTCAAGAGGGGAATTATTGACACTGCAAATGATCTGCGTAATGATCTTCTTTGTTCAAGTCTATTGTACAACATGAATGTTGTGTGCATTGCTGAGCAAATCTAGAGTAATAAAACGACATCGTTTGACTTTCATTCATAGTTCTGTGTTTGAGGTTTTTCTTACACCTTTCCTGCCATGTCTAAAGTTTTCTATTTCCTCTAAATTTGACGCCTTAAATCTTATTTTTTAGCATAGAAAATGAATATATTAATGAGGTCATGTTCCTCCCTGATATACTTATCATCTCTCCTTCTATATAAACAGAAATAATCACACTGGTATTGTATGGTATTTGAAATTATAAAAAGGGCAAAGGCACCTGAGTATTAACATTTTTGGCAATTGTCTATGTTGATGTGTCTTTTAGCTGCATTTTTTTTAGTTCATGGCAGTGTGTGTGTAGAATGTCTTCATCTTCATTTGAATCTTTGGTTACATTCCAGTGTTGTGTCACATTAATGTGTCATGTCATGATCCTGTATCATGTCCTATTCCAGACCCCCGGCAGGATATCGGAGCCCAGTGGAGTGAACATGAGCCAGCAGGACACCACCTCCAAGCGCTGTTGTTGATGCTGCAGCAGCTAGAACTGGCACTGGATGGCTGACTGTCCCCCCTCCCCTTCTCCCCCCCCTCCACTACATTATTTCACACAACCGTCAGCTCCCTCACAGGATGTAAATTACTGCCTGACTGCAATTCACCCTCCCAGTCCAGACCCAGCTGCGACAGGCATGTTTGAGGTTCCTCCACACATCATCTGGGAGTGTCTCTGTACTGGCAATCTCTCCTGTGAGGAAATCAACTTAAATCAGTTTCTATTCGTCAGTATTTCCAAGAGCCCTGTTTTTCACCGTTTTTTATCAGGGACGTCATCAAGGGCAAAATATTTGGGCTGACAGTCTGCCTGGAATAAAACTACTTTTCCGATGTTTGGACAGAACTTTTTTGTGACTCTCGTATCAGCTAGCAGTTTTTTATAGTTATAGAATCAAGTGTGTATTTTTTGGTATGAGGTTGGCTGTTTAATGTTTCAAATTGATTTTGGTTTGTCAATTGTCATGACACTTACTTCTTTTTATAGGCTTCATTGATGGGATTGGGGAGGGGAGGGGGAGGGGAGGAAGGCAAGAAATGTTATGAAGGTTGCAGATGGTCATTGAGCTGTTTGGGATAAAACAGAGGTTCAGTGTACATGGAGGTAATCCATGTGTCAGTTGTACATCTGGGTGGGAGGAAGGGGAGGAGGGGATGGTGCTGGTGGCGGTGTCGTGTTGTGAATGCTGAACGTTTTGTTTTTGTCCGATGCTGTCGCTATCTCGTACGATGGTGGCCCCAGGCTACTGCACTTTTCCACATTCTTAGTATCATTATTAGTTGTTTTTTTTTCTTTTTATGTCTTTTTTTCTATTACATATTTTTTTTGGCGCCTTGGGCTTTCATGTTTGTTAATGTTCATCAATCCAGTATCCTCAATCCAGTACATGGAAAATTTTTGGTCGTTTTTACTTTTTTTATTGGTATATTTTTTTCTGTTTGATCTTGATGTGTTGTATAGTGGCAGAGGAGTTGGTCAATGGGTCAAAGTCTGCCCTGGGCACTGATCAGTTGTCTGGCACTTGGTCCAGCAAAGGAGGGTTGGGGCTGCTGATGGAAACGAGGGGGGGGGGGACACCAATTGTCAAGGTGGTCAGAAAAATTGTGGTCAGAACGTGTTCGAGCTGGATCTGTTAGACTGGGGAGTTTGAGGAGTTTGAAAGCTGTTCTGGGACTGGTCAAAGACCTGGCAGAAGCTGAACTTGGTGAGAGGTACCTTGTGTGTTGTGATGGTGGAGGGAGCACCGGGTTGGGGCAGAGCACGGTGATATCTCCAGCTTCAATTTCTCTATACTCTGTCCGTGGGACCACATCCATTCGTGCTTGGGGAGTGGGGGGGGGGGGGGAGAGTTCCATTCCCATATAAATGAAGGTTTTTTTTGTTAGTCCTGAGGGAAAATTTGGAAAACGCAGAGTCAGCTTATGGTGTGTGTTCATTTGTCCATGTGTGTGTGTGAGGTACAAGTCTCCGCCTGGCCGTGGAGCTGACCACCCTTCCACACTCTGTGACAGCCTTGTGCCGTCGCCGTCAATATGACAGATCACAAGTAAAACCAGCATCAGTCTTGTGTAGGCGTCTCCAGAAAGATATCTGAATGAATGAAAGCCTTTTTTCTTCATCTTACGCGGCTACAGTTTTTTCCCCCTTGCTGCTGTCAGTATTGGCTTGGTATTATGTAGGTCATCATATGCTAAGGCATCTTCTTTGTGATCTAGCCCTTGCTGCCGTGTTAGCTGGAGAGACCGGCAGGTGAGACCTTGTAAGGAGTTTGGGGTTCTGTGTCCACTTGAATGTCCATAGCTCATGATTTGCTCTGTGTCAATGGCACCGACTTTTTGTAATGCAAATTTTTTTTGTACCTTCACATCCCCTTTGGATTTCATGATCTTGTGGCACTGTCTGCAATGTAAGTGTCTGTGGACCATGTGTAAGTGTCATTATGAGTGTTTGTTGAAGGTGTGTGGGTGTTTGTAGGTTGGAGAGAGTGAGCGGAAGAAATGTGTTGATGGAGTTCAGAGCTGTGATCTCCTGGTCATGATTGGTTTTCTGTCTGATGCTTGATAGTGAGAGTGAAATTGTAAGCTAATTCTTATGTATGTTTTGTTGCGTGTGTTGTGCAGCAGATACAAAGTGTGTCATTTTTGCACAGCAGAGCACATTGCAATGAAGAGTATACTGACTGCAGTAGATGTTGTGTGTGTGGAGTGTGTGTTGCATGGCAACGCCCAACATGTGGCTGGAGTCATGTATCAAAGGCTAAGTGGGAATGTGTCAGACTGGGCAGGAAAGAAAAACAGGGATCATCACAGAGGTGTTTGGTGCATGTCTTCTTATGGTGATGTCGTCGCAGTGGCTTATGGTGTGTGGTTTTCCTGTGATGTTCCTCAGCAATGTGATGTGCTATCTTGAAATGTCCATACTTGTTCCGTCTTGTATTATTATCAATGTATTGATGATATGATTGTGGACTCCCTATGAAGAGAATTCTGATGAGATTTTTATGGGAAAGTTTGGCAGTGTTATCCTGTGTTGTCAGGGTCATCATTTAGTGTTGAACAGGGATGTGGCTTTGACAGCCTTGCTCTGAGGGAGATAGTAATGCTCCCTTTGTGGAGAATGGAGCTTGGTAATGTGAACATGTGCTTCTTTGTCCCAGGATTGAGTGGCTCAGCCCCCACTTCACACAGACAAACTCTGTTGACCCACTCCTTATTTAGGGTTTGTTTTCTTCAGGGAGTGAAAATCTCTGCTGATGTCGGCTCGGGGTTGAAAGGTATGAGTGTGTCATGTCCAAAATAGGTGTATTATCAATACATCGTTGTCATGAAAACTCTTCAGTTGAGTGTACCACTTGCCACAAAGATTTGTCCATATCTTTTTTTTATTTCTCAGATTTTGACTTTTGTTTTCTGCCTGTGAGTCGGATGCAAGTGTCTGTATCTTATGTGCGGTAGGCCTAGATTTCTTTTTTAATAGGCCAGGGAATTTTTTTGTTTCTTTTTTTATGTGCAGTTCATGATGTGATTGTGGCAACTTCCACTGCATAAGAGGTAATTGGGTCTGAGTGCCTCGTCTTCTCAACGACACTTTCTCCTTTGAGTCATGTCAGATGGTCAGTACTGTCATGAGATGCACTTTGGGTATAGAGACTTATATGTTACTGTGGACCATTTTGAGCAAGTGATGGAGTGAGAGGTAAGCTGTGTGTGTGTGGCCTGGTGGTGAAGTGGATGATAGTTGAGAGATTGGCTGAATGTGACTGGGTGTAGACTGGTGGTTTCCCCCTGGGGGACAGCGAGATTGTTTCCTACAACCTGATCTGATTGCTTGTTCCAGTTGTCTCTGACAACACACTTGTGTTCGTTGTTGTCATGATGAGGATGATTCTGTGAGCTTGAGAGCTTCCCTGGGTATTGCCTCTTTCAGTAAATGTGTCCATGTATATATATATACATTCACTAGCCGCTGCTATAGATGTTAGCGCGTCCCGGCTGCTACCGCAGTGTTCAAGGGTTAATATCAAGTACAAAAAAAGATGCCCCCATGTTTTTTTTAACTTTTGTTTTGTTTTTTTGTTTTTTCTTCTGGTCTTGAGTTGCCTCAGGATTGGTCTTGAGTTTGTGGTTAGGGCTTGACCTTGTGCCTTTAGTGTTACTATGAAGTGCATTTGATTCATTTCTTTCCCCAGCTAATGTGTGCATGGCTAGACATTTTTGTGTGTTTTTGTTTACAATACAATGCTATCAGAAATAAACTGCAACACAGAATTTTTTAAAAACTATTCATCCATGTATAATATACTATAATTGTGTCTACTTCACTTGCTGCGCCCTCACACAGTACTGGTTATGTAGAGGCTCAGTGCCAGAGAAGTCTCGGGAAGAGTTTTGTGTAGTCCAGTTTATGCTCTTCAACTTTATGCTTCTCTGCTACACATTTTTCTGCGCTGTGTCGCGTTGTTATGAGTCCTGCTTCAAAAGCTGGTAGAAATATCATGGACAGATGGTTTAAAAATCATCAGTTAAGTTAAATTACTTTTTTTACTCTTTAGAATTTGTATGGAAATATTGGGAAAAAGCTTTTGATTCAACAACATTATGAGATCTAAGTAACTGTCTTTTTGGGACCTGTGGAAAGGCAATGTTGTCTTACAGTACTGGAGTTTGTCAGCAAGTTTTGTTGTGTATTTTGTGTAAAAACATTCTACTCTGGGCGTTCACTTCAAGTTCAAGCTGTGGGGGTAGTGGGAGATCTGTTTACTGTAATGTCTCTGTTGTCCATTCATTTGGTTTGCTATCTCAGTCACAGTCAAAAGAGTTGAAATCGTACAAAGGACAAAATTCTACGAATTTTTTTCTGTTTCAGTGACTTTGGATTTGGTCATCAGTAGACAGTATTTTTTTTCTGTTCTTCGGAATTCTTTGGTCAAAGTGTAAAGAGACATTGGTTCTTTTCTGTAGTGAAACCCCCACGCAAACACAGATCATGTACAGTACTCAACTCGATAATAAAAAGGGAAAAATGTTGGTTCTGACTTTGTTGATTTTGTACTTTTGCCTCTCCAAACATGACACATGCTGTCTTTTTTCTTTCCAAACATGATTCAACTTGTCATCTCCCTGCTCAAATATGATGCACATTCTTCTCCTTACTGAAATATGACACAAGCAGTCTTTCCCTTTTTAATCATTTGCAGGTGGTTGGCGGGTGCTCTGGTGTGGTTTGCTTCTTCTTTCCTATCAAACATCTATTTTCCTTATCTCCCCTACTCCTTTTTTATGTTTGTTACTCTCTTGTAACACCTCTAAATCTTCTGGCGCTCATATGACCTTATGCAGTTGCGAGCGCCGTAAAATCTCTTCTAAAACAAAACTAAAACAAAAAGCGGATGCTCTGGTGTGGTTTGCTTCTTCTTTCCTTTCAAATGTCTATCGTCTTTATCTCCCCTCCTTCTTTTTTGTGTTTGTTACTCTCTTGTAACACCTCTAATCTTCGGCACTCCGACCTTATAGAAAGTTATTGTGTTGCAAGTGTCGTAAAACACCTTCGAAAAGATTTTAACCATTTAGCACCTAGAGCGGCCTTGCACAGCCTATCGATCGCTGAACGCATGGCACTGCTGTGGTGGGCATTTCTATGAAGTCTGGGAAGAATGTCGGATTAGAATTAATTGAAAAGAAGGCTATAAACCGAAATGACAGTTCTTCTTTTTTGGGATTTTTGAAAAGTTAAAATTGACCCAGAAATAGTACGTTTGTGAATTTTTAAAAAGTAAATATGAAATGAAGGGTGTGATGGAGTTAAAACTTGAACAAATCCAAGAAAACTTTGAAAATGCATAAAAATTAAGCCTGTGAAGTGATCTCAACCAAACAAAGACACGTTGATAGTTCATTTCTCAGCTTGTTGTAGTACCGGTATCTTACTTTTTAGTCACTAGAGGAGTTGGTTAATTTTTATTTTGACGAAATAGATGGATAACGAATGAAAACCTGATAATCACAACTACTATAGAGGGAATATAAATAACTTGCCCATACTATACCGCAGAGAAAATTGGCTCATTGGAAGCAGTTTTCTTTTCTCTATACTGATGTGTTGTTTTCTAGATCATTTTGTGAAGAATGTAAAAAATATTTATTTTTTTTAATTGATATTTTTAGAGGATTATCTCCCCTTTCCAGGATTTCGAGGCATGTTTCAAGACTAATCTCCAGGAGCTAAATGGTGTATAAAACATGAAAGAAGCAGTCTTTTTTCTTCCCACTCATGATTAAAGTAGTCTTCTGCTCTTCTCTTTGAATTTAGATATAGTATGCATAAACACAATCTTCTTCTTTTCCAAACTTGGAACATAAGTGATGATACTGATTATTTATAATGTCGAAGTTTGCACTTTTGCATTATTATTATTATAGTTATAGTCTTGCATGCACATAGCGAAACTGGTGGGATGCAGAAATCTGTTCGTTGTGAAGGAATTTCACTGTTTTAATATAGAGAATATTTATCATAATTTATGCGTTAGTAAAGATTCAGAACCTGAAAATATGTTCAATATAATAATTACGTGTGTTCGCTATGTGTGTGCTAGACTGTACATATCTTTCTGAGTAGAAATACGATTCACATTTAGTAATTTTCAAAATGTTATTTAATTTTTATGAAGTTACGGGCACGTCCCAGCCAAGAAATTTTAAAAATACTTTCTTAATATGTTTGCTAAAGTATGGTAGGCCCTATATCAGTTTTTATGTATATATGCCAGAAGATAGTGAAAGTTTAAAGTAAATGGCTGCGTTGAAACATTCAGTTAAGTACACAACTGGTATTTGTCACTATCATCGAATGTGGCATCCATCTATCAATACTATCCTGGTTGTTGGTAGCCTACTACTGAATTTTGACTTCACACACGAAATAAAATTATTTCAAAAAGTGAAATGTAGGAGTTTTTAACCTCTCAATGACACAATTTAGATCATTAAGGAGGTGGACTTTGAGCCATATTGCCTGTCATTACTGTCAAGGACAACCCGGGCCGAGAGAGATACAACGTCCCAACAGAAAGGCTGAGATACATATTTACACGTTTCAGTTACTTCTTCATTAAAGTAGAAAGTTCTACGCTAATATTCTTAATAATTTGACATTTTCTGTGATCCTAAGGAAAGTGAAGTCAAGTAAAAAAAATATTACAAAAAAGAAGTTACTCAACATCAAAAGATGTTACTCAACATCTTTGGTTTTGATTTCATCATGAAAGATGTTTGTTACTCAAAATATCTCACAAATGGAAGCTAAAAGTCTGAGAAAAAATTATTATATAGTAGTTAAGCAAAAGTAGCTTTGTGAAAAAGTTTTTATTATTATTTTTTATAGTAGAGGGTTTTACAGCGCTCGCAACTGCATAAGTTAATATGAGCGTCAAGGGGTGGGTGTCAACAGAGAAGTCTTTACAGGGAATCAGACTTAGACTGCTCACCTCTCTAGCTTAAACAACACAAGGTCTTATTCAACTAATAATCAAGGCACCCCAAAATAGCAGGTCACAAGGGAGTGACAAACATACAAAAGAAGTAGAGGAAAATGACAATAGTAAGGATTAGGAAAGAAAAAGCAGCAGTTCTCTGTTGTAGATCAGGCACAGTTATGAGCGTGACATGAATCAGCCCATTTTCTACTGCACTTGAACGAGAAATGTCCCCCCTTTGGGAATGGCCTAAAGACACTACAGTCAGTGGCACTGCCCCGGGGGGTGTTTGTGAAAATGCTGTTCGTCATATCGACATTTTGACATATTGACATATTTTCCAATTACGAAATTTTTCCTTCAATATCTTCACTAAACAATTTCTCTTATATCGATTTTTTTTCCGGCCCACTCTGCTTTATCGATAGGCTTCCTGTGTACCTCGCTAAGCCCACGAACATAAGTGGGGGGGGGGGGGGGGGGGAGAGCTAGGCTAATGGTCAACGCATTAGTTCTTCATTAAAGTCAGCATACCTGTTAAGTAGCCTATTCGACACAACAGGCTTTAGTAGGGCATGTAGGGCCTACACAGTGTAGTCTCCAACACAGTACAGTGCCTCACAGACGTGAGCGTCTCGCGCACTGGGCATCACCTCCTAACCCCTACTCCCGATCGCTCACTCCCCTACCCCTACTCCCGATCGCTCACTCCCCTTCCCCATCCCATTCTCAGTCTATCGCTGGCAAGTGCCACGGTCAGTGAGTATCAATGCCTCGCCTTTCCATTTTCCCCACCAAGCGGCCATAAACAGGCCTTACAAGGATGCTACAACAAAGTTTGCGCCGGTGTGTAGTGTGCGCCTCGCGTTGCCCAGTCTTTGATACTGCAACTCCAATCCCCCCATCCCTCTGCCTCTTGTAAGTTTCACTGTGTAGTCGTGTAAGAATCAAGGGAAGCAACCCGCTTTAAAACGTAGTGTTGTCTTTTTAGCGCTGACATCCCCTTGTTTTTTCCTCTTAGGCTTTATATTTTCATTTATCGACATTTTTATATATCGGCATCAAATCCACTTCCGAAAGCATGTCGATATAAGCGGATTGTGTATATCCCATAGAGATTTCAGTCTTATGAGAAAAGTTTGAATTGAATAATTACAGAGCATATTTTCTGATGTGCCTACATTGTGGTGCATGTAATCATCGAAGTGTAGGGCCCAAATTGAGTAAATATAAAGATTGAAGTTTCATTTGTCCCTGGGTTTCTTGGTTCTTTCACTGTCAGAGCATTGTGAACATGATACATGTACAATCAGTTTTGATATCAGTGCAAAACTAATGGTTCGCCCCACCAACACATTTTATTATTATTTAGTTCAGGCTGTCTGTCAGGGTCTACCCAGGCTGTTTGACATGTTATGTGTAGCTGCAATCATAGGAAAAAGACAGAGACAGGTACGGGTGGTTGGAGAGAGCTACTGGTAGGTCTTTACTTTTCCTCTGTTGTTTCTGTCTGTCTGTCTTGCTTTTCCCCAGCCTTAAATGACCATTACAATGTGCTTCTCTACACCCAAACAAAGAAAGGTCTGCTTGATAAAATGTGACTCCACTGGAGAGTTAAATCCAAATTTCTTTGAGAGAAAGACAGGGAGCCTAGCCCGAGTCGTTACAACTACATCACAGACACAGCTTCCAACTAAAAATGCATGTTCAAAGGTAAAGAACATGGGTCTGAAGAAACAGTGGCTTACTTATTGATACTGAGACATATTGCAACAATGATGAATACTTTCTAAGAAGGACAAAAATGTAGTCTATGAGAAAGAAAAAAGTGCAAAAGAATCATGCGGTGTGAGAAGGATGTTATTATTGGTGTCTGCATTACAGTGTGTATAGTGTTTTAGTTTTAGTGCCAATAGAATGGCGGCTCGCACTGTATAAGTGGGTGTATGCTTCCCAGGAAGCTGAAATGTTTCATGATTTATTTGCGGGTAATAATACATATGTATAGAGATTGTAAAGCGCATAGCTAAATATAGAGCTTGCAGTTGAGCAGGAATAATGCTATCTTCTTCTTCTTCTTCTTTCGCGTGGTTGGGGCAACCGTGGGGGCATCACTGCATCTGAAAACCAGCTCTCGCCATCTATTTTTGTCCTCTGCTTTCCTCAGATTGTCACCCATCGTCTTTCCTGTCTACTCTGTTATGTTGTCTTCCTATCTCCTTCTCTGCCTTCCTCTCTTTCTTTTTCCTTGTACGGTTCCTTGCAGGATTGTTTAGGCAAGTCCTGTGGATCTTGTGACATGCCCATACTTTTTTAATTTTCCTCTCTTCATTGTGGTCAGTAGAACTTAATATTGCCCCACTGCGTTGGTGATTCTCTTTCCTACCTCAGCATTTGAAACGTGGTCTTTGTACGAGATGTCAAGGAGTCTGCGGTAACATTTCATCTCTGTGGTCTTAATCTTTTTCTCTAATTCTGCTGTTAGTGTCCACGACTCGCAGGTGTATAAAAATATTGAGATGACCAGTGAGCGCATTAGTCTAATTTTTGAGTTGTGCGTGATGTTTCTGTCCCTCCAAATAGGCTTCAGTTTTGACAGCGCAGCTGTTGTTTGCACGATTCTGGAGAGGATTTCTGGTCTTGAGCCTTCATCTGAGACGATTGATCCACGGTATTTGAAGCTGTTGACGGTCTAAAGTTTCTCGCCCCGGACTTTGATGTACGCGTTGATGCCATTGGTGTTATTGGTCAATAGCTTGGTTTTCTCGGCCCTGATCTCCATGCCGTAGGCTGCTGAGGTTGTGTCAAGCCGCTCCACTAGTGTGGCGAGCTCCTGTTCTTCTGCTAATCCATCGATGTCATCGGCAAAACGCAAGTTAGTGATTGTCCTGCCTCCAATACCGATTGTTCCATTGTGGTCTTCCAGATTGTCAGTCATGATTCGTTCTAGGAAGATGTAGAAGAGAGTGGGAGAGAGCAAGCAGCCTTGCCTCACCTCGACCGTTGTCCTAAACCAATCCCCCATGCTGCCGTTAAGGTAGACTGCGCTGGAGGCCTTGTCATATATAGTTGTATGACGTTGATCAGGTTGGCGTTGATGTTATATTTCCTCATGGTTGCCCATAAGGCTGCATGCCAGACCCTGTTGAAGGCCTTTCTAAAATCCACGAAGATATGGTATAGGTTTTGTTGGTGTTGGAGGTACCTCTCGCACAGTATCCTGAGGTTGAAGATCTGTTTTGTTGTGCTGCGCCCTGCTCTAAAGCCTGCCTTCTCTTCGACAATGGTCTTCTCTGCCTGTGGTTTCAATCTGTTCAGCACTATCTTCAACATAACCTTACTGGGGTGGCTTATTAGACTGATGGTGTGGTAATTCTGACATAGTTGCAGGTTACATGTACCTTTCTTGGGGAGTGTAATCACCAGTGATCGTGTCCATGGTGTTGGCCACTTTCCTGTCTGCCAGATCTTGTTGCAGATGACAGTCAGTCAGAGCGCTTATCATGTCCTTCCTCCCTGCCTGTATCAATTCTCCTGGGATGTTGTACACTCCTGCTGATTTCCCCTTCTTCATTGCTTTAACTGCTGCTTCAACTTCTTCTCGAAGGATTGGGTGGTTATCGATGTTGGTTGCTGGGGGAACGTTTAGAATCTCAGGGTTTCCCGTGGCTTTGTAGTTGTACAATTCTGAGCAGTATTCTGTCCATCTCTTCAAAATGTCTTGTTCCTCTGTCAGGCATTTTCCTTGTTTGTCTTGAATGGTGGTGGTGCGCCCTTCTTTAGTGAATGTCAGGTCTTTTACTAATTGAATATGCTTTTTTGCTGTTGTATATGTCCCCAGGCTGCTTTCGATTATTTGGCATTGTTCCTCCATCCAATTTTCTTTTGCCCTTTTCATACTTGTTTTAATTTTTTGGCTGACTGCTCTGTACTCCTTTGCACCATCTGGTTGCTTCTTTTTCTCCTTTAGTTTCCTCCTTTTGTCACACATATTAAGGATGTCAGTTGTGACCCAGGGCTTATTGACTCGTTGGTGTTTTCCGAGGATCTGACTGGCTGTTTCAGTCACTGCTGTATTGAAGGTGTTGATCCACGCGTCCATGTCTGTGTCATTGTTGTTACCAGCATCAATGACAGTGAGCGGTGCACACTTTCCTCCTATCACGGCTTGGAAGGCTTCTGCTACTTCTGGGTCCTTTAGTTTTTCGAGATCAAACTTCACCCTTGTGTTTCCTTGCTATACACATGTCATATGTAATTATTACTATAAACTAGTATTATTATTCTTATCCTCCGTGTAGTAATAAATTCAGCAAAATTTTAAGAGACGGACCTTCTTAACATCCATCTACATCCCACTGAATTCTTACCTAAATAGGATCCACAAGGATACCCCACCCGACTGCCCGTTGTGCGACTTCCAGGATGAAACAGTTCCACACCACCTCTTTATCTGTCCTGCATTTTGCGACCAGCGTAGCACCTACGTACCTGCCTCCCCAGACATCGGAAATACTCTATACAGCGACAGCTGATAAAAACCTGTAAATTCTTTGCCATATCGTTGATATCGACAGACCGAAGGGCCAGAACCCAAATGGTCGTTGGATCGGAAAAGTAAAGTAAAAGTAACATCCACCTACATGTATTATGAGCGATGTAAAAAAAAAAAAGAAAAAAGACCGATCCGTTCAAATACACACGCCTGTGTCATCTCGATTGTTTACTCAAAAGTTGTGTTTCTGTGTAGAGCCTAGCATACGGCAACTTTTCATTCCATAGACCAGCGCGCAATTCATTATTATGTAGATCTACGTCAAGACTAGCTTATCATCATAGTAATACACATGTAATTTATTGTAATACTGATTAGTTGCGAGGGGGAAAAAAAGACTGACGCGTTTGTATCTGCGACGTTCAACGCCTGGACCGCTAGTGCCCGCCCCCGACACGCACACACAGCCACACGTGTGCAGGCCGCCCATTCGACCCTGACACACGCCAGAGTCTGAGTTGACAAGTGCGCGTGCCAACAACGCATGTGTTGGTATGGGAAAAGGCTGAATGGTCGCATGCAATCAGCTAAGTGAATAATTAATGGTTCACGATGCAGGTGCAATGGATGGTTTCCGGGAACAGATATTAAAGTTCGTTCTGGGAGCAAAATGAGCGAAGCCGCGTCTGCGGGGGCTGTTCACCCTGGAAGGGACCTCGTTGAAACCGAGCTGGCTGATTAGGGTGGGGAGTGTACACCTCCAAAGCCCCGATTCGGCTCAAAGTTATGGAATTTGAGTTGTAGGCATTTTTAGCTTCCTCAGCCTCTCCTACAACTATTTCATCGCATAAGAACTCCCAAAAACCGTATTTTTCCCATACCGGGCATGTTTATCACCACCATTTCCTCAGAAAGTCAATATTTTATTTTTCTTTACCGGCCGTTTTCTCAAAACGCGACTTTTCTCTATACTTTTTTAAATAACTCCACCATTTTTCATCCAATCTTCATGAAATTTTCACAGAATGAAGAGAAGATGTAATACTAATAATTTATCTGTTGAATTTTTAAATATTTGGAAGTTTTTTTGTTGGTGGTGTCTTGAGTGTGAATTTTCACGGATTTTTTGCAAACTTGAATGGTACCCCAGAAAAAAAAAATCATAAAAATTTATTAAATTCGTTTAGGAAAAAAACAACCTCTATATTTTTAGATCTAATGTCTTTTAGCACGCATGCAAAAAAGCAATCAACTTCCATGAGCAGTAAGTGCGGTATTCATTATGTAAGACATGTCAACAAAATCTAATATGGCCGCCATATCCATGGAAATGAAACTTTTTTCTCAAATTTGATTGCAGTTTTTAAGACTCCTAATTACTATGCTTGTTACATATGTATATGTGTGAAATTTGGTAAAATTCGGTCCAGTAATAAGCGAGATAGCCTTCAGGTGTAGCCCCCCCCCCCCCCTTTAAGAGATGAATCCGAGTTCTCGTTGAATCCCAGCTCCACTGTATTAAAGAATCAAGTCAAGGAGATGGAAAGTATAAAGGATTCCCCACAAAACCAAAGTTCAAAAATGCTCTTTGAGAATTCAAACCAGCATCTATACAGCATTCCAACATGATACTTACCAACTGAGCTATAGTCATTCCCAAGAATAGATAAATAAAATGGAGCGTGGAGGAGAGAAAACTAAAGGAAAGTCAGATAAACAAAGAAAAGAAGGAAAACTAAAGAAAAATAGAATCTTTTTACTTTGTTTGAGTTTGACACCTTAATAGGTACAGAAAGGTCAGAGTTTCAGAGATGATGAAAAAACGAATTATAAAGATTATAGATTAGATAATTTTTTTACGGTAGAGAAAGTATGAAAATGATGCTAAAACTTTTTGTTTAGGCTTAGTAAGAGTTTTACAGCACTTACAACACAATAAAGTCATAAAAGTGCCGAAGATTAGAGGTGTTACAAGAGAGTAACAAACACAAGAGATCAGGTCGATAGATGTTTGGTAGGAAAGAAGGAGCAAACCAAACCAGAACACCCGTCAACCACCCAATAAACTTTGTGTTTACAATTGGCATGAAATGGCAAGTGGGCCTTTCTCCCCCAACAATCAGAAAGACTAGCCGAAGCGAATGAAGAACGGAGTGAAGCAAATTAAGGGTAAAGACAAAAGAGAAGTAAGTAAAATGAGAAAAAAGTTGAGACAAAGAACTGTAAGTTTCCAAATTTTGTGCACAAAATAACACTCTTTGGCCCTTAGGACTGACTGTGACTGTGAGGCCACTGCTAATTGTGACAAACAGTCAGACACCTCAAGTGGTAGCAAATGCTTGGCAGTGGACGGGTGAAAAAAACAAAACAAAACAGAAAACCTAAATGTTTCCACAATTTTATATATCCCCTCACAAGAGGGCTGGTGACAGGTAAAAATCTGTAGCACAGAGCAGATGTAAACATTTCAATACGGTACTACGATGTATACGAATAGATAGATCATACGTATATTGCACAACTTGTAAAATGGGAATGAGACAGACCAAGAGATCAACACAACAGGAATATATATATATAATATATCAAGTCCAAGTGGTCAGACAATAAAATGGGCAGCTGTTCCCAGCAGTGTATAAACAACATAGTAATATGGTGCAGTCCATTGGTGCAAGTAGGGAGCAGCCATCTTGACTTGACACCATCATGTTTTAATTTTAGTAGAGGTTTTACGGCCCTCGCAACTGCATAAGGTCAAATGAGCGCCAGCCATCATGTCTGCGTGACATGCACTGTCTATGGAATTGGAATGATCTGCCATTCAAACAACAGACACCGAAATGGAAATGGAAAGAAGGTACAAGGAGACAGTGTACATTCACACAAATAGACAAGGATCAGATTGACGAGACGGCTGCTAGCTTGGCATGGTGTGGGTCAAGGAGATAGCTGGAAGTTATCGTCAGTGACAACAAGCACAACATCAAAAGGAAGCAATAAAACAATATGTCTACATATTGACACACACAGGCACAACAGAACATCACACAATACAACAGAACATCACACAACACAACAGAACATCACACAATACAACAGAACATCACACAATACAACAGAACATCACACAATGTCCATCCCAAAAACATGTGAGGCAAAAAAAATAAAATGTTTTACCTTCACAAAGATCACGGTAAGACAATAAATATAATTAAATAAACACAATAATAAATAGATAGTAGACAAAAACCCCCACAATACATGGACCAAGTGTAAATAAAATGTGTTGATACCTGGGAACACACTGTATTCACCTCACAGATCTCACTAAATAGAGAGTTCACTTTCAGTTACAGTGGTTACAGAGCTCCCCAAAAAGGCTGTAGTCAGTCACATCAATGAGCCTTTAATAAACTGTGTCCAGCTCAAAGAACTCGCAAAACAGGTGACTGAAAAGGCTATTCACTCCATTGAGATCACAGACTGTCTTAACTTCAGAGCTCACTAAACTGAATGTGTTCACCACACTGAGCTCACTAACAGAATGTGTTCACCACACTGAGCCCACTAACAGAATGTGTTCACCACACTGAGCTCACTAACAGAATGTGTTCACCACACTGAGCTCACTCAACAGAATGTGTTCACCACACTGAGCTTTCTAAAATAGAATTTTATGTCTATTCATGTTACTCAACTGAACTCTCTAAACAGGATGGTTTCACCTCACTGAGCTCACTAAACAGAAAGTGATCACCACAACAAGCTCTCTAAACAGAATATGTTATCCACACTGAGCTCTTTAAACAGAATGTGTTCACCACAACAAGCTCTCTAAACAGAATGTGTTCACCACACTCAGCCTACTCAAGCTCTGCCACGACAAACCAGAAGGTCAGCTTATGGACGCTGACACACACCTCCTTGCTTTCTTTCATTAAAATAAAAGTACTACAATTTCATAAAATTACTAGAAAAACATAATTTGGATGTAAAGATTCCTTAAAACAAAACAATGGAAATATTGCACATACCCAACAACAGGAAGGAATAAATATGATATGACTGATTGGACTCCACACAGTTCTGATGACCACAAGGTTTGAGGCTGACTTTTGGATTGTGATTTGTACCTCTTTAATATGTTACATGGTACTGTTAAAAAAACCCCAACATTATCAGTATAGACTAAACCTTCTCAATCATGCTCTGTGACAGTGACTCTTCTCACCTTGATGGTTGTAGTACTGATCACAATAAAATAAAACTTTTCAGTACGTTACCCCTTCAATACTTCTAATGGTAGTTCTACTGACCGTAACAACACAAAAAGCTTCAGTTCGTAGATCACAATGAAACAAAATTTAAAAGTAAGACAGTATTAAAAACAATACACATTTCACAACAAAATGTTCCGACCAACAGTATGTGACATAGCTAATGCTAAAAAGCATCCTCCAACAAGTGTGTACATTGTAGAAGTATAATTTTACGATGGTCACCACATCAGGCCAACAAATATCTTTGTTTACTAACTACACATGACAAGTTGACACACACCAGCCAAAAGGTGGCAGGACTACCATCAATTACAACTACATTTCTTTGGTCTTCTTCTGAAGCCTTCGCCCAGCGCAGGTAAACAAGATCAGAGTGCCTGACTACCAACTGTACGGTGTAGGTTCGAATACTTGTCAGGGTTTATTGGGTCCTTCTGAAAGATGTGTTGCACAAATTTTATCACTTCACTCAAGCGGGTAAGTTAGTGTTCGAGCGCCAGTAAAACATCTAACGGCAGCTTACACTGATGCTTTCAGGAAAGCTGAGAACACTTCGGAGCTTTACTAAATGGTTCCGGTGTTATTCAATTGTAAAACGCATAGAGATTACTTTCAAGTATAGGCATGTGCTATTTAAATACAATCTATTCATTCTATTATCACTATATAAACAGCCAAATAGAAAACTACTACATCACAGACATGAAGACAGCTGAACGAGGACAGGTTCATTAGTTCGAGTAAAGAGAAGCACACTGGCACAATAGCGGTCATTTAGCTCAGAGTAAAAGTAAGACAGAAAGACAGACAGAAACAACAGAGAGGGAAAGAAAAGAAGGATCCATCAGTAGTGCCGTCTAACAAACCATAATGGGGACAGGGATTTTGGCATGAGTAAGCGTAACAGATCACTTGGTATAAAGTTTGGGCCCGCCACAGAACTCATTAAAAAATGATTGATACAAAAAGACACTGTAAAAACCAACATTGCCAAAAGTATTGCACAAACCCATCTTAGAGGACTGGTCAAAGATTACAAATGTCAGCTCTGGTAAAATCTTCAACAATGGACATCTTATTCTAATAGAAACGTATGCATGCACCCACTCACAATCACACAAAAGGACACTAAGATCAACTGTCTTAGAAATCTAAATGTTGACTATAATCTTTCATTTGTCCAAACTAAAATCTGTTCATATTGAAAGCCGACAGTTCCAAAAATTTCTCCAAAGCTTTGACATTTAGTCTATTTATCAGTAATTTTAGACTTCTCATCATCCGTTGTCAGATAATCAACGAATGTTAACATCAGAACCAACAGCATGACAATTTGATTTGATCATGACACAGCAGAATAATGTGGTGATGTGTTGTTCCCAAAACACAACTCTGCTTGGTTTTAAGCTTACAAAATTATAACAACCAACCCACATTTCCACCCCCTTCCCAATGTCTCAACTGACAGAGACAAGTGCCACGGCAGAGCGTACGTCTGATATCATCCGGCTGTTATCCTGTTTGTCACTCAGGCTCTGCAGACGACCGATGACCTCATAGAGGTTGTCACAAGTCAGTGGGCCGCACAAGTCAAGGTCTGATGCGTGCTGAGCCAGGATGGGGGTGAGTGCAGCAATGAGGTCCCCCTGGACGGTGGTCAGCTTCTCACGGAGTCTAGTCACACAGGTCTCTGTGACCTCTGTCTCCTGTGCGGCCTGGATCAGTGCCAGCTCACGAGAGCTCACCTGGGTCCTGCGGGCAGACACACGAGCTTCTAGCGCAGCGTTGGACGCCTTCAGCTCAGCTATTTCCTCGTCCAGACGACGCAGCTCGGCGTCATCTTCCAGGTCTGCAGAACACAGGAGAGGTTAGAGATTGAGTAAAGGATAAGCACATCAACATAATAATGGTCATTTTTAGAGCAGAGAAAAGGAAGACGGATAGATAGAAACAATAGAGGGAAAGGAAAGAAGAAGAACCTACCAGTGGGACTCTCCAACCACCTACCAAAACACACCTACAGAGAAGGAAGGGTAACAGCTTTAACAGATTAACCCTTCTCAAGCTCGCTCCAACTCGACAGAAAACAGCTTAACCTATACTTTAGCTCTAAAGACAAAAGCAGTCTCAATCACACTCTAGCTCTCGGGAGAGTAGCTTTGATCATGCACATAGGGCAATGCAGGAACACCCTAGTATCAAGAAGTCAGAAGTGGACCAAAAAAGTAGAACACAGGCCCCACATATATATTTAGAAAGAAACATTCACACTCGTTCCCCCCCCCCCCCCCCCCCCTAAAAGATCCCCTGATATCACTTTTATCTAATCTACTACGTTCTCGACACCTGCTGTCTCAACCAAAAACTTTGCTTTTAACAACAAAAAATAGACACACAGAAAACCAATCAAAATCAGCTCAACACCTTTATAAGGCAGCCACCTGAGCAAAAGTGAGCCCATTATAAAAAAAACAAACACGACTGCTTCATACAAGTTCTTCTGTACTTCTATGAGGCCGCCAATGAAGACAAAATGTCCCTATCTCTTTCCTACCATGATTTGTAACAAGTTATATTCCAATACCCACCCTTTCCCTTTTCCAGTAAGTAACAACTTTAATTGCCACTCCCTGTTCACAAAAGCAAACTCTGACCACAATATCCATACTGTGTGCAGATGATTTGAGATAAAACTTTACCCCAAAACACTGCACCCTGATCCCCTCCCTATTTCAGCAAGTAACAATTGTTACTCCCACTATCTGTTTACAACAGACATTGTGACAATTCCAGTAAACCCCCCCCCCCCCCCCCCAAGAAACTGGCAGGTATTATGACCATTGTCCTCACCTTCCCCAGCCTGCGCCTTCATCTGCAGCACCATCAACTCCTTGGGCGACAGTTGAGCTCTCTTCATGGCGGCCGAGGCGCGTGGGCATCCCGACACACTGCGGTGGGAGTGGAAGCTGCCGTTGGCATGCCCCGAGCCGTCACATCCCATGATGGGACAACTGGGTGGGGGTGGGTTTAAAAAAAAGTTTTAGTAAGAGTTTTACGTCACTTGCAACAAAATAAGGTCATATAAGTGCCGAAGGATAGATTATGTGTTACAAGAGAGTAACATACTCGTCCACAAAAAAGGAGGAGGGGAGATAAGGATGACAGATGTTTGATAGGAAAGAAGGAGCAAACCACACCAGAGTACCCGCCAACCATCCACAGGGTTGGGGGGGGGGGTGTAGTAGAGTAATGTAGGTGGGAGTTGTAGTGAGGTAATGGAAGAGGTTGGTGTGGTAGTGGTCGTGGGGTGGTGGAGTAGTTGTAGTAGTGTTGTGGAGGTGGAGGAGGTATTGGTGTGGTGGGGGTGAGGATGGTAGGGTCGCATGGAGGGGAGAGGTGGAAGACAGAAACGGTGTACATCATTAGCTTGACCTACACCAGATGCATGTCATGATGAGCTCCAACAGGTAATGTTTATGTAGAAGTTTCAAGGCACTTGCAACATACCGAAATAAAGACATATAGGTGCCGAAGCAGGACTCCCCTTTTCAGGCCAACATAAGAGGTTTCTTCACCCTTTGGTTATCTGACTTAAGGGGTATTTAAACCCTTGTATTAGAAACTTAAAGGGTTAAAGTCAATTATCTCTTAATTTTATAGTATTAAATCCAAACGATTTTTAATTGACTTCAGGTTTCATTGTAAAAAAAAAAAAAAAAAAAAAAAAAAAAAAAGAAACATGAGTAATATTGGCTAGAATTAGAGTTGTGTCCATTTGGACGCGGGAATAAAAAATAAAACAAAAGTTGACAAACCAAAAGGGGTCAATTCCGACTGTAATACATACAGAAAATCAGACCTGCCACTCTATGAAATCTAAGTCAGGATATCAGTGGGGGAAAAAAACGGGCTTTGGTGAAAATAAATCGGGATCAACCACAAATCACCAAGGTCACTGCCAAGCTGACTTGACAATTCCCAGGGGTGTCCATACATATTATGTATTGCGCGCGCGTATGTGTGTGTGCGTGCCTGTGTGTGTTTTATCTTTTTTTTTAATTCCTGATGTATCACGTCAAGCTCTCCTAGTCCAAGTGTTTTACACCCCCCCCCCCATAAGTTTTGAAAGACACTTCAACCATGTGCATGAACTTAAATTGACCCCGTCAACGGACGGTCCCCGGAACACGCTGAACTCACACGCCGGTCATGTCATGTGATGAGTGAGAGCGCTATTGAAGCAGTATTACCGACGGGTCTTGATGACGGGCCCGACAAACCAGAACTCGGACGAAGCTTGTTTTCAAAGTAATAGCAGAACTACAAATAATATTGATAATTTGTCGCTATTTGGAGAATTCTGAGAGGAAACAAAAGCGAAAGTAGATCTCGAGAATGTCCCAAGTCGGAATGTCAAATCAATACTACTTCCATTACAGTTGAAATAACAAAATCGGGAAAATTGGGATGCTTGAAATTTGGGGCAAAAAAACTGGATATCCCAATTAAATTGGGATGAGCGGCAGGTTTGGAAAAACAACAACAACTGATTCATTTTCAAAGCCATCCCAGGGTTCACATTCCAGTCTTTCCAGACTTTCGATGGCGGACAATTCATGTTTACTAGTGTGTTAAAGAAGGATTGGGGTAATCTCACGGCCTGAGTAAACTCAAGGCACGACACCGGCAAATGCAAGAGACCAGAATGTGGGAGGAGCTTCTCTGCTGAAGCAAGCCTCTGTTGTCGGAAAGTCGCGCAGCTAATAGGCAGGTCGACAGCTTCTGACACAGAGTCACAGACAAAAGGTGACTGCCGTGAGCGTGTGGGTGTGTTGTCAAGCCATTGACTCGGCTTCGGGGTAGTGAAGTGGGGAAATTATGCTTGCCAGATGCACACCACCTGTTTTAAAGCGTATGCAAACTCCCGAAGTGTAATTTTAAAGAGTAACGCTCACATTCACGCGCCACCAAAACTTAAGGGGGGGGGGGGGTAATCTGCAGGTTTAATGCGTAATATACGCATGCGCAATGGGGAGCCCTGCGAAGAATAGAGGTGTTACAAGAGAGTAATAAACACACACACAAAAAAAGGAACAGAGATAACGACTGTAGATATTTGATAGGAAATAAGGAGCAAACCATAACTGAGCACCCGCCAACCACCCACCGATAGGCAAAGGGGGACATCGGGTGAAAGAGTTTTGAGTGTTTAGTTTTAGTAAGAGATTTACGGCACTTGCAACACAATAAGGTCATATAAGTGCCGAAGAATAGATGTGTAACAGGAGAGTAACATACACAAAAAAGAAGGAGGGGAGATAATGACGACAGATGTTTGATAGGAAAGAAGGAGCAAACCACACCAGAGCACCCGCCAACCACCCACGTTTTGAGTGTGAGTAACGACAAGCACATCAACACAATAATGGTCATTCAGTCTAATGAAAAAGTATTACAGATAGACAGGAACAACAAATGGAAAGAAAAGAAGTAGAATCTTTCAGGGGTACTCTCCAATCACCTGCTTCAACGTATTATAAGTCCAAGCTTGGATACAATAAGAAAGATACATTTTGTTAATCCTCCATTGGAAGAAGTTAAGATTGTCAATTTCCACATACACACACAAAAAAACCCCATGCGTTGTATTATAACAAAAACCTCACAAACAAGCATACACACACACCTCAAAGCCCAGGCACATCCATATTCACTCAGCCAGTCTGTCTATTCGTGTCATGGTTAAACTGAGGGCCACATTACACGGGACCCTCCTCTCCCCACAATGACAGACAAAAATCTGCATAAGCCAGAATGAAGGTGTGACCTTCCAGGGGCATCCTAGAACAGACCTGCCACTCTATGAAATCTAAAAATCAGGATTTTAGAGTTTAAAAAATCAGGATCTTGTGAAAAAAATCGGGATCAACCGCAAATCAGTCTTAAGGGGTACTGGGGAAGGGGGGGGGGGGTCCTGGTTCCCTTTTATGAGGCAAGTACGCAAGAAAAAAACTTTTGCCGGAATAAGTTCACGTTTGGGCCACTAAATAGAGGGAAAACTGAAAGACAGCATTACTCGAGTCGGAGTTGGATAGACTGGGGCAGCGCAGGTTGCAGTAAAGCTGAAACTCTCGTAGTCTTGAAAATAGCTGACGCATAACTCTAATCACCCATGCAAAAAGCCCGCGTCTTCATATAGTAACAACGTTTGACTTCCATCGCATATACACACAAGGCATCTTTCCCCCCCCCCCCCGAAAAAAAATCGCGTCAAGGTTGTTCATTTATTTCTTTTTTCTTATTCCTTTATCCTCAATTAGTAGATTCTACATGTATCACGGCACGCATTTTAAGCCCAAGTGTCAAAACAATACCCCCCCCGGTCGTCCACACTAGTTAAGTCCCGAACAACACCCCGACCAATGCGACCGGTGTGAATGAACTTTGTTGACCCCGACAGCCGACGGTCCCCGACACACGCGCTACTCACACGTACGAGGCCATGTCACGTGTTGCGAATGAGCGTTTGAAAGTTCCACTGACAGGTCTTGATGATGGGCCCGACTTATCCTACCAGAACTCAAGACGAGGCTTGCTTTTAAACCAACGACACAACAACGAATAGATTATTCTGAGGCCCATGACATAATTGTTACAGTAATCAGGACACAGTCGGAGAATTCTGGGTTATAAAAGCGAAAGTACATCTTGAGCGTATCCATGTCGGAATTCAAAATCGATACCACGTCGGTTTTAGTTGAAATAACGTGCGTGAGTCATCTACTAGATTCGGCATAGATGCTTTAGAAAGTAGCGTTCCAAGTTCCTGCCCATAAAAAATCTAATCGGTGCTTCCAAGCAAAGGAGATTGTAGAACTTTTTTCCCCCCTAAGAATCGGACGCAACAGACGCAACGACAAAAAATCAGGATACTGGCGACCGAAATCGGGAAAATCGGGATGCTTGAGATTTAGGGAAAAAAATCGGGATATCCCGATTAAATCGGGATGAGTGGCAGGTCTGCTAGAACCACCCCAATTTGTACAACACGAAAGGGTTTGTAAGAGTGTTACTGACATTCCAAGATTCCGACCCTTGACCCCTGTCCAGCATTAGTGTTGACAGAAGGGGACATGCTGCATAAACATAGCCTACTATTGGAGGAAGACTCCAAGGGGAATATCGGAGGAGTGACATATTGAGAAAGCAGGGAAAATGAGAATTCTAAGTTTGGAAGTCTATACCTCACAGTGAGCAATAACATTTCTTTTACCGTACATAACACAGGACTTACCTCGGTTATCCCTGGGATCATTTGCAGAAGAAAGTTTGATTTTTGAAGAATACAACAAGGGAAAAAGCTAATAAAAAACAAACAAACCATTGTGACTTATTTGGTTTATATGTATGGTATATACATTCATATACATAGCACAAGAAAAAAACTCACTTGATGTTCTCAGCTTTGGTGTCCCAGGGCAACGTCTCCGTGTGACCATTGTCCAGTCCGGCTAGCAGACCCTTGTGACCCCCACGCTGTTTGTTGGCGACTGGGCAGCCCGAGGCACTGGACACACACACACAGTGGGGATGGGGGGGCATCATTTCAGGTTTGATTAATACATATAAATTAAGCACAGAAATACACCAAAATGGGAAAATACATATATTATGAACAAAATTACATACAGTCAAGGTCACAGCAGTTGCCTCAGCTTTTTTGTTGTTGTTGAGAAACATTTATGAACCCTTCAAGCATTGCTTACAAATAGCCTGTGGCGTCACGCGAAATTATATTGATTCACCATATTATGCTGGAAAATGCTTGAGATCAGGCAAAGGCAAGTAAATGCATTTTCAAAAAAGTGGAACGCAAATAAGAAGCAAGAGTCTATTTATAAAGGAGTTAGGCCTAAATGTTTGGCAATATAGAAAATGGGAAAAACGAACTGAAATAGCAACTCAAATTGTGACTGACTAAATCGGCTAAAATACCACGGAATGAAAACTTATGGCCGTTCGACACTAGGAGGGTTAGAAAAACTGCATACCTAAATCAACCTTGTGGCACGAGCAAAGGTGAAAATGTCTCAATAATTAAATTTTTAATACACAAAACAAAACCCTATGTTCAGGATGCGAAATAAATAATAAGGCTGTTTTTTTTAACCATACCATAGGCCAGAAACATGCAAAAAAAAAATGACAGAGTCAACTGTGTCATTACCATCTTAAATAGTCATATGAAAAAGAAAAACAGCAACTTCCTAGCTGAGTGAAAGAAACTTAGAGGCACTAGTACATGTTTTCTATCATGCACACCAACAAGACACATATTTCATATTCTATACAGGTAAGGTAGTCAATCCGTTTATGGTAGTCATTGGGAGGTGTCCTTGAGCAAGACATGACAATTATATCTAAAACAAAAAAACACAAAAAAAAACAGGGCACTGTGCAGTTGCATCCAACAATGGCATGTTTGTGAAATTGTTCTGTATTGGTGAAATATTGTGTATTTATGTAAGCATTTACATGTGTTTCTAATTATATATTTATAATGTATGTATGTTTGCCATTGTAACTGAGATTTCCCACGGGTATCAATAAAATGTAATTTATTATCATTTATTTATTTATGGCTGAACCAATACTTCCTGCACTCATGACAGAGAACAGTAAACAAAACAAGACTCAGCATGCAGGCAGATAATACACATGACTTGTTGCAAAAAGAAAAAAAAAGTGCTTACCACAAATCCCAATTTTGTACTTTCACACATTCGTTCATTGACTTTAAAACATGATTTATTTTTTCAGAACTAAATGCTTGAAACTGATACTCTTGATCTTCTTATTATATCAAATCTATATGAAAGAAATTCAGAAAATTTTTCACACAAGAAATCTATCGGGCCTCAAAACTGCTACAAAATAAGCCTTATTGCATGTCTTTCTCTTTCACCTTGCGACTGGTCTTGATTTCCCTCTTCCATTGCGTTCTCCAGCCATCTGTTCTAGGTGCAAAAGTTGACCTCAATTGAGGTAAAGTCTTCCCAAATAGGTAATCTGTCTTGTGTCATTCAAAGAATCTTTACAGGTATCTATCTCATATGAAAGCTGTTGAGCCTCTACTCCTGATGTGAATATCTGTCTGTCTCACTCGTGAATAAGTGAGCTCAGAATGCAAGCTTGGTATGTTTTCATCTTGATCTTGATATTTCTGTTATAAAACGTCTCGTAATAACTTGCTTGTAGTTGTGGATGTAGTGCAAATTCTGATGTTCAAGTCTTGAACAAGTATCCTTTCACTGTTGATAGCAGATCCTAGGCAAATGAAAGGTTTTGCACAGTTTATTCCTTACTTTCCAAGAGACATTTCAGCTTGTTCTGCTGCTTCTTTTTGACAGAAAAGATGAACACTTTTCTTGTCGACAGCAAAATGGCATCTTTTGCATGCAGCTAGGAAGGCAGTAATCAAACTTAACAATTCTTCCTCTGTGCTTCACTCAGAGCAAAAATTCATTCTTTAAGAGAATACAATGAACTTTGCCTTTAGTCATGCTGTATAGTATATAGAATCTACCAACCTAGGCAAGTGGATGAAACTTTCAACCAAGTCAATTTAGAATATACATCCTAACTGAAGCAAGAAATAAGTTCCAAGAAGGTCGAAGCAAGGATGATTCAATGCTCGACTCTTTTGACCTCCTCAGAAGACGATCCACAAAGGATAACAGTACCATTCACACCATTGTGGACTGACAGTACAATGTGAAGAATGGAGATGGTGGTTATGACAGGGAGAGCAGATAATTAAATCTGCTTGGTTAATTTACAGAGTCCTTCACTCATGATTGGACCGACTTGTTTCCTAAGTTCTGGAAGATGACAAACAAGAGTTAGGGTAACTCATGTTCATCAAACAAACTACCATGTACCTGGACAACAAACACATACTACAGGTGACCCTTTTTAGACAGGACTAGCTCTGTACAAAGTCCTTGCACAGATGCCAGACTCAATTTTCAGGCACAGGGGTGTTGCAGGGACCCAATCAATGTACACAATCTGTCACACCACGTGCACCAACTGCAGACCAGCAAGAAAACACCCACAAGGAGACAGGGGGCCCTACACAGGTGAAAAATTTGTGACAAACACTTACAGATTTATAAATGCTTCTCAAACTTAAGTGTCTTGAATGTACGTCTAAATACTTGATAGAAACATGGAGCACATACTTGCACAAATGCTTCAACTACCCTTATGTCTATACGATAAAATTAACAGAATTGTACAAAGCCTGATAAAAAGAAATATGCCATACACAGAAGGGTAAATACTGAATCCACACTTTAGGTAAGCATATACCTGTATAAAATGTTGGATAAGCATTGTATTTAGGAGTATAAATACTGGCAAAAACTTGATTTAAGCAAGTATACAAATATCTGATAAATACTGCCTTTATCTAGGTGCAATATGACAGACTGATAAACATTTGGCCTATGACCTGACAGTTCAAATCCTGGGCAAACACTTGACTCATCAGAGTGGAGACACAACTGACCCAGCATGACACTTGAGGTACAATACAGGGTGACAAATGAATAAAAGTACAGTGGAAACCATATATAACAGGCCCGGTAATAACAGGGATCCGGTAATAACAGGGATTTATTTTTTCCTACTCTTTGTCTCTATTAAAAGTTATCGGCAATAACAGGGCCTCATCGCAGCCCAACCGGTTATAGCAGGGACAAATGCTCGTTACAATGCGTAAAAAGTAAGAGAGAGAGAGAGAGAGAGAGAGAGTGTAACGCAGTGATAGAGCAAGCCCACGCAAGCAAGCCATGCCACTGCAAGCACACGCAGCATATGAAGCGAGAGAGGGCTGCGGTGTGCTGCAAGCAGACCTCGAACTAGCCCGAAACCTAGCAACACACACGCGTAATGTGTCACCAACGATGTCAAGCGCACAAGAAAATGCCTTTCAATTGACAAAAAGTACGAAATAATCCAGGCTGTTGACAAAAAGCAAGCTCCACTGGCAGAGATTTGTCGTCAGTTCGACATTCCACAAGGGTCGATTCACACCATTACCAAGGATAGAGAGAAGATAGTGGCAGCATACTCCAATGGAAAGTTTGCTCCTGATCGAAAGAAGATGAGACTACCCGATGCAGATGCTGTGGACCAAGCTCTTCTGATGTGAGGCAATGGAGAAAGTTGGTGCCAAAACCCCTGTTTGTGGGTACTTGTGGCTAAGGAAACTACCCATGAATAAGTACAGCTGGATTAGTACACGAATACTTACTTTCCATGCATTTCTGATTTAACAGGGATCGGATATAACAGGACATTTTCTCTACTCCCACCATCCCTGTTATATCGGGTTTCCACAGAACCAACATCAGTGCTGTAGAAGTCAAAAAATGAGTTGACCCACTTGGTGAGAGCCGTGACGTGAGCTTCAGATAACTGACAGCTACTTGTGGTAAACACACCAAGCAATTACCAAATGATCACACCAAAAGCAAAACAACAACAAAGAACAAAGAGGTGCGAATTTGCGGCTGTCCACAAAAAAAACAACAGCAATAACAACAAAGTCCATGTTTACAAATACCAATAACAAAAACACACACAAAAACTAATGCAACCCAAAACATCAGAAAAACTGTGATCAGCACTGAATTTTTCAATAACAATAGCTCAATAACACAACTTGGTCCATTTTATGAAAAAAGAAACTGCAGTAACACACATAACGAGGAGATGATGACCTGCTGAAAAAAATTCCAGGCAGTGAAGGAGCCATTCCTCATTCAGTTATGTTAGAAGGTGGTTAATTATATTTTTTTTAAACTGAAAGAATCACTCTGTCATTGCTTACAATTTTTCTCAGAAGTTGACATCTGCTTAATGAGTGTCACTGCTGCTGGATTTTTCATGGAATTTCCGAAGAGCAAATGTGGGAAAGACTGCCGGTTGTGTAAAATAAAAAAAGGTGCCAGCACATCAAGCTGTGAGTGCAGTTCCCAAAACACGATAGGCTCATTCTTTAGTTTTTAGTTTTTGTATCAGTTTTGCTGCACTTGCAACACCATTGGGTTATATAAAAAAAAGTGTAGAAGGTTAGAGGTGTAATTAGAGAGTGACATACAAAAAGAAAAGGAGAAAAGGTATGGACAGTAGTTATTTGATAGGAAAAAAGGAGCACCCCCAAACCACCCACTGTTTAGTTCTATCATGTGATACAGCGGAGGCAACATCAAGAGGACATCAGCAATGTCTCCACCAACAGGAAAAGCACAGTATGTAGCAGCAGATGGGAATTTTTTAAACATATTTTACATACTGTCAAATAAAATTCCTGTTGCTCTTTGAGAACAAATAATTTACATATTTTACACACTGTCAAATAAAATTCCTGTTGCTCTTTGAGAACTAAAAATTTACATATTTTACACATTGTCAAATAAAATTCCTGTTGCTCTTTGAGACCTTCGCCACACATATAAAAAGGGATAACATATTCAATGACAGCATTAACAATAAAAATTAAGGCTTGATCATTTCATGCACAACACTATTCTAACATACAATAAGTACTGTGAAGGAATGCCATCTTAGCAGTAGGGAAAACGAGTGTACCCACAGAACAAGGAACACATACAATACGATCACAGATGTTCTGTCTCTATAGAAAACAATCAAGTGAAAGCCTTGATTGGAAAAGTTTAGTTTTAGTAAGAGTTTTACGGCACTTTCAACACAATAAGGTCATATAAGTGCCGAACATTAGAGGTGTTACTAGAGAGTAACAAACACAAAAAAGAAGGAGGAAAGATCAGGATGATAGATGTTTGATAGGAAAGAAGGAGCAAAACCACACCAGAGCACCCGCCAACCACCCACGATTGAAAGACTTAGCTGAGACCTTTGATGTGGTGTATGAAGACCGGGACAACACTGTGACTGTGATGGGGGGGGGGGGGGGGGGGAGAGAGGGTGGGATGATGCTCACATCTATGGTAAATCAAAAAAACAAAACACAAACAAACACACAAACAAGGTCAAGAAGCAACACAGGCTGAAACATTTCAATGTGAAACAAAACAAATCCATCGACTGTCGTGGATGTCCATGACACATGCACTGAGGGGAACATGGAGGAGGGGGAGGGCGTCGGAGACTTTCGTCTCATGCCAAAAAACATACACCAACACACTGAGTCCTGATGGGGGCGGGGACGGGGAGGGGGGACAGTGAGTGAGACAACATCTTGATGTTGGTACCTTCTGTGAGAGAGATACTTCCCCGTCACGTGACCTGATCCGTCACAGCCAGCGATGGGACAGCTGGGGTGCAGGCAGGAGGAAAACGGCAAGACACACAAGGTTATCAGCTAGGTCGGGGGGGTCAGAGGTTATAGGACGGGCTCACACAAACACCTATTGGTATATTGGTACAGTCCCTTTCTCAGGGATTCTGATGTAAGGAGCATGTTGGTGGACAAGAACGGATTACACACATTCACACAAATGTTAGTACTGTAATGTTGAATATAACTGCTTCTGATACGAGAAGCACTTTGGACAACATATAATGTTGGGGTTTATACAAGAATTGCAACACATGCTAGCATTTCGGACCTCTGACACATTATATCATCCACTTCTAACCTACAAACAGAGACAAGTGTAAATATCACTGACATAAAAATGGAACCACATTCCCAGTGACATCACAAATATTTGATACATAAACTTAAGACACACATATCAACATCACTGACATCTGAGGTCCAAACAGGGACAAGGACAAACTTTAGCTATCCTGACCAAACCTGGACTGTGTTTGAGGTTTGAATTGTGGCATACAGTGAGGAGCCAGCAAATTCACATCACTTTACCAGCAACAGTCTAGGACGAGAGAAACAAGGAAAAAAAGGAGCAGACCATATTCGAGCACCCACCAACCACTCGCAATGACGACCTAGGAAGACAGTTATAATAAGCCAGCTGTGGAGACGTGTTACTTCAGTGACAAGGATAGATTCCTCCTCCCAGAGAAGTCCTACACTGTGACCACAGTCCTAAACCTCCCCAGTGCCATGAGGCTGGAAGATGAACTGCTCTGCTCCCGTCCCTGCAGTCAGGTGCCACTGGTAACTGATTAAGGCCTTTGCACTTCACTCTCAGCCAGCTGCTGAAGGTGGTCAAGTGTGGTGGACAGGGCAAGGAAGAGCCTGCAACATGGGGCAAATCGACAAGAAGGGGGTGGGAGAGAAAATGTTCCACTCAAGAGCTGCAGAGAATGAATGATCTACAGAACATACTCACCGTAGAGGATCCTCTGACTCTTTCTTCTCCCCCTCCTTCATGAGGATCTTCTTCATTCTGGCAGCTTGAGGACAGCCGGAGAGACTACGGTGTGAGGCATAGTTCCCAGTCACATGACCTGAGCCATCACAGCCAGGAGTCGGGCACCTTGGGAGGGACAGATGGGTATTGGTCAATGTTCATGCCAAAGTTGCAGTTTACAGCAGTACATGGCATACATTTTTGGTAAAGTTTGCATATAGATTTTAAAAAATTTCTGACACGGTTTTTAAAAGACCCCAACAGCACACACATTAAAACCATGAACATTAATTAACTTATATTCTATAAATGTTGATATACTGAACACTTATATTTACTAATTCCTATTCAATGTCAAAACATCTCCCGAATTTCTACTGCACATTTGCTTTCAGACAGCATCAATTTATATATGAAATAAAAATAGGCAACAAACTTTTAAGCATGTCAAAAGATATATCTATTAAACATGACAATTCTTATTCTAAGTATTTATATTAAGAATGCAGTCCACCTCGCATATTACAAAGATTCTTGTCTACATATGCCATTAAGCAGCAATCTATCTTACTATACATTTACCACATCATATTCCTGTTCAATATGTCTCCATAGACTACAACCTTGCTCATACATCATTTAATTTGTGTGTTTAATACGTTTCAATGGACTGCGATCTACATTACTATATACAATTAGCTCTAACTTTAATTGTCATCACATCACCAGACTGCAACCCCCATTTGAACTAATTAATTCCTATTCGATGTGGCACTGTATGGTACAAATACAGTCAAGCTAAGCATATCCAGCACAAACCGTCACCCATGTACCAAGACTAAAAACAGCAAGCAATACCCCTACTTAAAGACAAGATATCACATAACAACAATTTTTAAAATGCAGAAGTATTAGAGCGTTAAGTAACTATGTGACAACTCTACAGGGACAAAGGTTGATAAGTAAGTAGCTTGAAATGCGGTATGGAGCTAGTTTCTGGGTTAGAAATATCAGAGTATACAGTCAAACCTGTGTAAGACGGCCACCCATTGTCAAGGAGAAAAGTGGCCGTATAAGACAGGTGGCCGTCTTAGGCAGGACTGATCAAGATGAAGAAAATGAACCATTCCCATCTGAGGTCCCAATCGAAAGTAGCCGCATTGTTGCTGTTTTTGTTGTTGGTGGTGGTGGTTTGTATTTTGTTGCTGATTTTGCACAAGGGTGACAATAAAACTAAATGTATCAGACGAGGAAGACCGAGTGCCATGTTAAAACAAACACATGGGTCGCCACAGAACAAGCGACACTTCTGTCACAAGTTCATGCTGACGTCCATTGTTACTTTTTTACAGACTGGGTAAACAGTGACCACTCATCTCACTTATGATTTGTGTATGAGTTCTGGGCGGGGCTTATGGGTTTTGAGGGATCACACGCTTACCTCACCAGCAGCTGAAAATTGGTAGCTATTGGTCAACAGTGGGAGGGGCCTACGCAACATGATCGGTTGGAGGGACTACCTAACAACAACGACAGGTGACTGAATTATGATGGCTCGCCCACAACGCCAGGGGTCAACGCACAATTTATGACAAAACGTAATGGAGTCACTAAGGTGGCCGTCTAAGACAGGTGTTACTGCTCAGTGTGATAGGGGTTGTGTGTTAATATATATGGTGGCCGCGGCCGCGTAGGACAGGTGCCCGTTTTACACAGTTAAATTATATAGAAAAAACGCAAGGGGGGAAATGGAAAGTGGTCGTGTGTACAGGTGGCCGTTTTATAGAGGTGGCCATCAGGGCACGTTTGACTGTATATATAATATATATATGAGGCAAAAAATGGAAATATATATATATATTTCCATTTTGAAGACATTTGAAAAATCTTAACAATCCTTGAGGTATCTAAAGCTTTAAATTTCAAAGGCTATGCCCTATGTAAAACACCCTCATGAGTGTCTGAGAAAATATTTTTATTAGAAAATGGGACTTGGGTAACATGTTCACGCTCAGGTGCATGCCATCATAAAATCTGTTAATAGAAAACACCACGTAAGAATAATGAGCAGTGGGACTGTGCTACCCAAACAAGCCTACACAGAAGCTAGTTAGTTGTACAAGACAGTAAATGTTAGCTCCATCACTTTTGTGTTAGAGACTCAGTGATGGCATCTGCTACAGGCTAACTCACGTCTGCTACAAACAACTTCTGTGACCCAGGAGAGAATTTGTCCCATCTTACTGAAAATAAAATGTATTTTAAAGTAATCAGATTGTTTTCTGATCAAAATGTCAAAACGTTAAAAAGACGAGTTCGATGGGAAAGACATCACATGAACATAGAGTCTGACGGAAAAAGGCCACAGATTTGAAATGTTACCACATGAGCAAAATATCAGATGAATACTACAACATAAAATACCTAAGTGACGTGGAATCCCCCCCCCCATCAACATAATAATCCATAAAAATGTTTGCGCATGAAAACAAAAATCTAATGAAAGTCTCTATGAGTACATGAACACACAGATCTGTCAGAGGTTGTTTTACACCCCATTGACACAATTTAGACCATTTTGGAGACTGCTATGACACTGCCTGTCAGGGCCAACCCAAACTTAATGGAATACAACATCCCAGCAGAGAGATGGGGACACTCGATAAGACCCCGCATTCACACTTTTGCATGCAATGGTGGAGAACCAATTAAAAAAAAACCCGAATGTCACATTTAAGTCTGATGTAAAAGTCTCCAAAGGAACACTCAAGTCTGATGGAGAAAGTTCCCACATGAATATAGAGTATGATATAATATAGTTAAAAAACCTTTGATCCACCTCATTGACATGCAAGCACTGCGACAGAATCTGTGCTTCAAGCATGGATAGAATTAGCCACAAAAGAAGCTGCATGAGGACAACGTTGAGACCATCTTAAGCTAAATTGACCGTCTGCATAGACAAAAAGAGCCACACAGTTAATAAACCAGTTAATTAAACCACATAAACACATACAGTAAGTCACTATACGCTACTAACTATATGAACAAAAAAAATGAAAAGAAAAAGTCACCGCAACAGTCATTATTCCTGGCAGTGTGTGTTGTAAACAAGCATGCAGAAAAGGATCAACAGCAACATCGACCTCTGCCTTGCCCTGGACAGCATTCCCTGAAGGCTCCAGCACACCTCACACCTTCTGGGCTTGTTTGTAAATGAAGCTGCCTGCCTTACTCACAGCAAAAACGATGCACCACAGAAAAGCCAACATCAATACAAACAGTATCCCCCCCATCAACTTACCGTTTGGTAGCCACACTGAAGAACAAAATCAGGAACGAAAACCAAACACGCTGCTTGTAGTGGGTGACTACATCACTTACTTGTATAACTTTCTGTGTGATGATCATATACGCTTGGGGGAGAGGGGAGCGGGTGATGCGATGACGGCTCCGGCATTTTGCCTTGACAAACCCAAGTCGCAGTCTCAGAGACATTCTCAGAACGCTTCCAGCCTTGATGCACCAGGTTCTAGTGAGATGACATCCTTAATGACACCCTTATTGTTTTGTACACAACCTGAAAGACCGCCAAGATCTGTTCTTTTTCAAAAGACCAAGGCTAGAACTCCTTATTGCCTTGCACACCAACTAGTGAAGGGAGAAACTCAGGACCCGTCTGCCAAAGACTTACAACCCACCTATACCTACCTCATCAAAACTTTTCCGACAAAAAGACCTGGCGGCAGTATTCCCCCATATACTCGTACATACAGTGAAACCCTGATAGCATGATCAGAGCATTTCTTCGTGTTAATACTGTTATGAAGCTTTCGTGTTATGGGAAGTAACAATGCATAGAATAAATAGGGGGGAAATACTGGTGACCTGAAATCCTTTCACAGTTAAAAGGAATTGTGTGTTTAACGGCTTCACGTTCAGCAGTTTATCTTGTTGCTCTATACAAACAAGAGAATGTTTTAGAATTCTGCTAAGCTTGCTTTTCTTTAAGCAGTCAATGAGCATGTTATACAAATAATCTGTATGTGGGATCTCTGAAATTATCCTTTTCTGAGAAGACTATGGCTCAGAACCAACCTACCCTGAGACCAAATGATTGAAAATATTTTCCACCATCTTTGACACGATCCAGGAGGAAGGGTACAGTCACAGCCTTCACAAACTAAGTGGGATATGGCATCTGAGCAGAAAGGTGACACTTGTCAGCTTGTGTGGACCTATTTATCTGTGCTATTGACAGATAGGTCAGGTGAGGGTTTGGTCCCTAGACGTTCATTACAATCAACAGAAATGAAAAAGGTAAACAAATCTACACAAAAATCAGTTGACAAATAGGCTACAAACTTTTTCAGATCTAGACTGTTTCGCAATCCAATTTCTCTGATAGGAGCAAAGAACCTTCTTGAGTCAATGTTGTTAAAATTTTTATGCTTCAACATCAAAACTTTGAAATTCAAGTTTCTCGGAAATGAGCAGAGATACTTGTGAGAATAAGCTTTCCCATGCCAGAATCGAAATCATGTGTTTAACTTGCAACAGTGAAGAGCCTAATCTACAGACTTCCGTACCCAAGGATTGAGCTTGTGAAACACCCACGGAAAAAACCCTTAAGTTTTTCATGCAAGCCAGAAATCAAACTAGGTACATTGTACTCCTACATTAGAGCCAAGCATCAAAGCTCTAAATAATTAAGCTTCTCATCAATACAAATGACCACACATGGAAATTTTGTGATCATTGCTGACAAGGGAAGGGTCCAGAGTCAAGGGCAGATCCAAGTCACATCAGTGGCCTCATGTGGGGAGTCATAGACAACTCCATTTCCTGTTTCCTAGAAGGACAATGAGAGACATCTGCTGAACATAGAAGGTACAGCCTACCGGAGACTTCCAGATTATTGCCTGCAGTTGACATGTCAATTCCAATTGTGTCTGATGAAAACCAGTCAATACTTCCCTATTTCTTTTTAAAAAAATGTGTTTCCTTTACAAGATCTCCCAATAGATGGTACTAATATCTATCTGAAATAAACACTTTATATCCCTCAAACACACCTAGTGAATAGGAATGAAAACTTTTTTGACTTGTTTGCTCCTCCTGAGAAATCCATTTGCTGATCAGGGTAAAGGAATATGATGTGTTCCATGATTATTCCATCAGGCATGATGGATTCCACGAGAACTCTGAACAATAAGACATGGACATACAGACTAGTTCTGAGGACAGTGGAGTTCACTGAGGGTCAACTGAAAGCACAAAAAATCTTTCACTGCATTAGAACCTCAGTCCAGGTTCCCACTAATGCAAACATTCCAAGCAAGCATTTACAATCATCACAGCACTGTGGTCGGCTCTGCAACTTCAGTTTGGTTGTATGAAAAGCAAACTCCACTGTTCCAGAAACACGATAACATTCTGTCAGAGTGCCTAGGACACCAACAGCATGAGTTGTATGTGTAAACAGCAGCTATAACAATGATGCCCTTGATGCTAAACTGACATGACAGGTGTACCATATCGAATATATCACATCCTGGACTAGCTTCACAAATCCACACTAGTTGGTTCACCCTCCCACCAAAATCACTTTTCCCAAAACTGAAAATTTTGATGTGCAGTGAAGTAAAATTAAAAGAAAGCCCAGTGCAATAAAAGGAGAAATGGGAAATTGACTTGAGAGCCACAACACAAAGGCAACAGAATCCATAGCTCACCAAAATAAATCTAAACAACCTAATATACAGCTATATATATAATAAGAATTAAACACTTTACACAAAATACACAGTGGTCACCCCCTACAAACTTCATTTGCCAGATCTGAAATAAAAGGCAATCGTGCTTCACTGTTTTCTGCTTTTGTATGAAGTATATGGTAAAAATCTTTACAACTGTCTATCATCACTGCTGTATCAAAGGGTTAACCACATGTAGCCTTTTAATACCCTTATAGTCATTGTCATTGAGCAGACAAGCTAAAAAAAATGTCCAAACGAACACCTTGCCTGAAAATTCTGTGAGCAGAAGAACTCATTCTTTTTAAGTTTCACTGTGGGCGGCCTATAGCAGAGACTAAACACGTATGTTAAAAATACAGTGAGCCAGACAATGAATAATTAACAAAAAGCTGACACTGAAAGTGAAAAAAACCAAAACCCAGACCACCAAAACTGAAATGAGAAACATAAAAAAGCTGAATGAAACCCACCAAGAAGCTAACTGTACAACTTGAAAAATGAAAGTACAAAAAGTGACTGAAACAATGAACACCCAAAAGCTGATACATGAAATAATAAACATCAAAAGCTCACACAAAAACTGGGATACTAAACACCAAAAAGCAGGCAAGAAAACTGAAAAAATAAACACCAAAAAGCAGGCAAGAAAACTGAAAAAATAAACACCAAAAAGCGTATACCAAGACTGAAATAAATAAGGCACCAAAAAAACAACAAACAACTGACAACAAAGACTGAAATAATAAACTTTAAACACCAATAAGCGTTTACCAAGACTGAAATAATAGATATCAAAAAAGCTGACAAGACTGAAATTAAAACACCAAAAAAGCTGACAAGACTGAAACAATAACATCAAAAAGCTGACAAGAATGACAAAAATACAATAATAACCACCAAAAAGCTTACACCAAGACTGAAATAATAAACACCCAAAAGGTGACACCAGAACTGAAAAGAACACCAAAAACCCCACAACAACCAGAAACATCCGTGTGAGGCCACAGACAACAACGAAAATGACCAACACCAAACACATGACAGCAAGAGAGAACCGGAGCAGAAACGAGGCGTGGAAGAAAGACGGACTCACTTCTGCTCCACCTGATGTGCCTGGACAGTGGCACGGTCAGCCAGAGGGCAGCCCGACAGGCTGCGGTGGGACGAGTAGTTTCCTGTCACATGACCTGAGCCGTCGCAGCCTGGGGTGGGGCAAGTGACCTCCGACCTGTGGCGTGCTGACAGGCGAGAGCTCATCAGCTCTAGGAATGGATCTTTGCCGGAAGAGGAAGCCAGGGGGAGAGGTGAGGGGGCATCAGGAAACTCGGGGGATGGGGAGCGACTGGGGAGCAAGCTCGGGGGCTCCTCACTGGCACTGCTCATGTTGTCACGGATCTCCTCGTCGCTGTCCTCCTCCGAACTGTGAGGTCAATGCCACAGGTGTGTTGTGTGTGTGAGCAGCAAGGGAAGAGAGAGCACAAGGAACAGTTAGCTGAGCACCACATGCAACTTTACCACCTCCCTTTTCTTCTAACACTACCAACTGCACTGCACCTCACTAAATAACTACTGTACTACTCATTATATCACTCACAGAGAACTACTAGGTAAAGCAGGGAGTTCGTAAGATAGAACCAAGGAAACAACTGACAGAAAGATAGAATTAATGCATGGAGAGATTTCTTTTTTTACATGACCCCTGACGACAGAAGCCAGGGCGAGTCACCCACCACATTACCTCAAAAGAACTTAACATATAAGAAAATGTTTATGTTACACATACAACCCTTTATACCCCTGGACTGTCCACAGCATACATTTGAGCATATGAAATATATAAAACCTACCACCACCCTCCGTATCCTCAATCTGTGTGAAAGTGTGTACGAGTTACACATACAACTCATGACCACCCTTGGTAGGCCCTGGACTGAGTTAAAAGACTCAAGCCATCAGTCACGGTTGACAATATGTTTAATGGTAAAAAAGTTTTCTCTCATGTCAACAACATCAAAATGCATTCATGTATGAATCAAAGACTGCCTTATTTAGTAAAATACAATGTAGAGGAGCCAGAAAGACTGTCTAGTCAATTCAGTCCGTCATAGTACCAAAAAAACAAACCAAGGCGAGCACACATTCTCTGTGTGTGTACAGGAAGAGAGAAAAACATGTGTAAACCCTTGTGAACTAAACATCCGCCCCACACATTCTCCGTACACAGATCGTCAGCTAAACATGTGTAAAGCCTTGAGAACCAAACATCCTCTCCACACATTTTCTGTACACAGATCGTCAGTTAAACATGTGTAAAGCTTTGTAAACCAAACATGCTCTCCACACATTCTCTGTATACAGATGGGCAGTCATAAAACATGTGTAAAGCTTTGTGAACTAAACATTCTCCCCACAAACATGGACAGAGATCTGCGAGGGAACAAGTCTGGTCCCTATTATCGCATATACACTCGCCTGGAGTGAGGGTGAAAGAAATCAACTGTGTCAATTAAGCAATGCACAGAGCATTATGCCCATCTTCAGGTGGTTTGAGTAGAAAACAGCGTGTTCAGACATTTACCCACTGTAAAAAACATCAGTCTAAGAGTAGAGTCAATGCTTTATCCCCCACAACTCTCTTGACATATAAGGCACATCTCACACACAGGAAAATATAACAAATTGTACCACACACCTCACCTTCTGAGACATATCAGGCACAGCCTATATCACACACTCACACATAAAGACACACACACCTCACATTCTGGCAAACATGGAAAGACATATTTACCACATACCTGATTCACCAGCATATATCAAGGCACACACTGAACACTGGCATACAAGAACACTCCTCAATCTCTGGGACATGTCAGGACCTATGACTATTTTATCACACTCACACATCAAAATTTATATCTCGTCATACCCTTATACCTGCAAAGACATAATTCCACACACTGGTATACATCAAGATATTTGCACAATGTCACATACACTTGTTCTCTGGTCAGCTCTACAGAGCCACCCATATGCACATTGGCATGTTTAACTTGTAATATGCATTCGCCAGCATTTCTTTTCACATGGACATCAAAGCAGTAACAGACAATATATACAATAATCAGTGAGAGATATGAATATATGCCTTTTCAAAGGACATTAGCAATTTAAACAAAATATTTAACTTCAGACACTAACGTTTGTAGTATAAGTTTTTAAAAAAAAGTGAACAGTCATGTTCATGAGCAATGCTGACAGGTATACTTATAGATTTCTCTCTGCTGCAAATTTACAAGACTAGTACCAGCTGGTGGTATTGGGGACAGTTTCAGGATCTGTACATTCTTTATGAGAAAAGAGCAAGTAAAATCTGTACAATGTTGATATATCTGTGTGGATGTAAATGCCTGACAACGGTCAAGTCAAATACCTTGGGCAACTGAGGGACAGGGTACAGACAAAAAAAATGTCAAGCAAATAAATCTAATATTGTACAAATTAATATAAACACAGCATTGCTGGCAATTTCAGATCATATACAGAACATTGGTAAAAGGACAAAAGATGGAATAAAATACTGATACAATGGACTTGAACAGGCCAGTCACATAAGACAACTCTGTTACACCGCCCACTGGGATAGGCCCTGCTCCCTGGAGCAAAACAATGGTCCCACAGAAATCCTCAGAGCAGAGGGCTGTCTGGCCCATCTGGCACGTCTTTAAGCGAAACACCAAAGGCTCTCTCCATGGTGCTTTCAGAGGTTGGTGGTGAGACACAGTCCACACCACGGGTATTAAATTCCTCTACACTGGCCTCTGGCTGTCTGTACAGGACAATCAACAACTTTTACAAAAATAAGACACCCTCCAACCACCCGTTATCCAGCAGGAATGATGATCAATGTAAATATCTTTATGTACAGCAACTGTTGTAACAAATGAGGTATAAACATAACATTATTGCAAGAAACTGAACACAAACTAAAGAGCGGCCCCATGCCACATTCCTTAGATAGGTGGTACATACAGTCCATCGCTACTACAAGCACTTCTGTTCTCATGTCCTAGTCTTAAAAAATCAGTGACACTAACAGCAAATATCTAAAAATGATGAAATTTTGCTAACAACCCAACACATTTAAAAATCAACGTATAAAAAAAGGTAATGCCACTGAATGCTCCCCCCTCCCCCATATCCAAGGCATAATTTACATTAGACTCCACTGATGCAACAAATACTACAATTTATTTTAAGTGAGCCTTCCTTCATGGGTCCGATGACAATCTTTTGATGAAAAAATAATTGTATAACATTTAACATAACTTGTTTTAGTTACAATAAATCCATTTCAAAACAGCAATGAGTACAAAATCCGAGTGATTGAGCTCCAGTGCAAAATGCAGATGTCTGAACCTGGCAATAAACCAACTTGTGAACAGGTTCTCTTTCTGATTTCACAATGCAATGAAATAGATCACATGATGAGGCCAGCACAAAATAGTGGTAGGGAGGACTTTAACAAGTATACATTCTTTAGACAAATGTGTTGAGATAAGCTGAAATGTCCATTCCCACTAAGATCATATGCATTTTTCGATAGATTTCTGCCACAGAGTGTAAAGTAGAATCTTAAGTCTGGGAAGGAGCAGAGGGGCTGACCGAGGATAGAGGAACAAGTGGAGCTTGTCATTTAGTTAGTATAAGAGAAAAAGAGGATTCAGCTGATCCATGGAAAAATTACTGAAGGATTTCTAGACAAAAGGTGACATATGTTATTGAAAAGATTCAATAGCCAGTAATATTTTTTTCCGTCTCAGAAGCTACAATTCAGCACTTAAATTTTTCCCCCACAAAAGCCAAAAGCAATCCTCCACACAAAAAAATTGTGTGACATAAATGAACACAAATTAAAAAAAAACCCCACTGGCCATTTCAATCAACATTTAACACAAGAGAACAGGGGAGAGTGAGAGAGAGAGAGGAGGGGGGAAAAGGAGGGAAAGAGTCCTACGCAGAGCACAAATCGTCTTAGACATGAAGCCCACGACGACGCATCTTTTAACACCAGAATCAAAGCTAACAAGGAGTTTAGTGTCTACTGCTATTTTACTTTACTGTTTGCACTATTCTCATCATAGGTGATATGATCTTTGTGACATAAATGAAAAAATTCCATACATTTGAAGGAATTTTTGGTCTACCCTGAAGTAACCAACACCTAGAATGAGCTAGACTACAACCGAGAACCACAAAAGGTGAAGTGTTGAGCCTTGCTTTGACATACACACACTCGCAAGTACGAACCAGCACAACCAACCCATGGAACAACCAAGGCCAACAGAGCGCAACCACACAAGATCAGAGAAGCATAGCTACATTCGCAAGTCCCCTGCGTCCGTGCAGCTCCGCTGACTGATGTACGCAGCTGACTGCTGCCTTGAGACTACAACTGCAGACCATGATGGTCATATGACCTGTAACCTACCCATTGCCTGCCAAGAGGGAGCTGGGCTTGGAGTGGGCGCGCGGGGCCGAAGATGACGGAGAAGAAAGCGATGAGGAGGCAGACGATACGGAGCTCGGGCTTGAACTGCGCAGGGAGTTGGCTGCATCCAGAATCTTGTTGCCTGTTGAGCGGGAGCGGTTCAGCAGACCTGGTCGGTGCCGCATGTGTGGCCGTCGAGACAGGATGTTCGGCCGCTCAGGGGCGTGTTTCATCTGAGCCATGGATTTGGCCGTGACCACCACCTCGTCTGCCAAGGTAGACCTGCTACTACTTGCCCCTGACTTGGGCTCGAACTTGACCTCAATAGTGGAGGAGCCCTGCACCATCTCTGGTCGACTGTACTTCTCTAACTCTCGGGCCAGATTTTCCCGTGGTGTGGCCTGGGCTACTGCGTTGCTCTCGCGTGGCTCAAACTGCTTGGTCAAGATCATTGGACGCAGAACGCGGTCTGTGCCTGCAAAGACAAAAGTTTTAGTTTTAGTAAGGTTTTATGGCGTTCGCAACTGCATAAGGTTATGTGAGCGCCAAGGGGTGCATGTCAACAGAGAAGTCCAAACGGGAAATCAGGCTTACTCTGCTCATCTCTCTAGCTTCAACAGTACAAAGTCTGCTTCGACTATCAAGGCACCCAGGAAATAGCAGTTCACAAGAGAGTGACAAACATACAAAAGAAGTAGAGGAAAATGATGATAGTAAGGATGAGGAAAGAAAAAGCAGCAGTTCCCCCTATGTTGTTCCAGCACAGTATGAGCATGACATTGATAAATCAGCCCATTTACAATTCTACTGTGCATAAGAACATGTTATATCCCCTCTTTGGGAATGGCCTAAAGACACTTCAGTCAGAGGCACTGCCCTGGGGGAGGGGGGGGGAGGAGGGGGGCGCGCACAAGACAAAGCCACGAGTCACACAGTCAGAGCTGAGGCACAATATCGCTTGTTTGGGTTTGTTTTGTTTTAGTCAATAATAAAAGCACATAACATAATAATGGTTGCTACATAAGTGTACAGAAAGAGTAAGACAGACAAAAACAACAGAAAGAAAAGAAGCGTGGCCCATTAATTACTCATAGTGCCCTCCAACCACCAGTGGCACCATATTTCGGTGCAGACAACCAGAGCTGGGGACTCAATGCACTAAATAGACAAATATAGTTACCATGGGTATCATTTCAATATTTGTTAGGCTTTACTACAATTCAATGGCCTGTTAGACAAAACAGATGACTGACCACTCCAAAAAAACAAAACAAACACCAGTAACATGAACCAGTTTTAATTTCATTAAACCTGCTCTTCAACCTACAAAACTATACATTTATTATCATATTGAGATTAACATAAACAGAAAGCAGGGAAGGCTTTAGTTTTAATTCAATTCAATGAACCCATTTACCTAATTGCCTCCTTGTTATTTAAAGGATTAAAGATTAAATGAAAATGTCAAATACTTACCTAAATTACGACAATAGAAAAAACTAAACAATAACACAAACAAACTAACCACAAACTACTCAGTACAGAATTACCCTCATCTGAAAGTGACACATTGCGTCAACAACAAACCAACCAACCAGCCAACCAACCAACCAACCATCAAATAAAACCACCCCCCCCCCCCAAACAAACACAAAAAACAACAACAACCAACAACCCCAAAATAAAAAACAGGGAAAACTACTGAGCAGAAACATTAGAAATCATCTGAAGGTGATTTTGCGCGAGCACATGATAAGATAAAAAAATCTCCACCCCATTAAAAAAAGAAAGAAAGAAAGAAAGAAAGAAATGGTCTCAATTCATTTCGACAGCTGAAAAAAAAATAATTGGGTGAAAATGGTATGAGTTTAACGTCCATATCAACACTATTAGGTTATTTAAGGGGTGGGACCTCCTAGTTCAACGTTCGTATCCGATAGGACCGAGCCAAGTGGGAAATTCGTGTAAAGTGCCTTTCCCAAGGACATAACGTCGGACAGAGCTGACGCTCGAACCCCGAACCCGTGATCTCACGATTACGAGTCCGGTAGCCTAACCACTAGGCTACCGAAGCCACACGACAGCTGAGAAACATGCCCACCAAACCAAAGAAGAACAAGAGTATTCTTCATGAAAGTGTTATCCTTCTGATCCCACAAAAGCTCACTTTAAAACTTTGATGAAAATTTCACAAGACTCACACAACACACACACGAGTACCTGGAGTGATCTCTTTAGCCACAAGTTTGATGAGATCCTTCTCAGAGCAGGTGGCGATCATGGCTTTAGTCGGGTCGTCTGACTTTGGCAACACGACTACATGCATGGCTGAAAGGAGAGAAGGAATTGCTATGACTCCACAACACAAAGACACAATAAGCACTACCATAAGATAGCATTACAAGCATCACTCAACACACACAAAAGGCACGATCACCTAACCGGTTTTTTACACCACAAGTGCACACAAAAATCTTTCACAACATGGATATTTGTGAAACTGTGAACTTATCCACAATAAGTCTTTCTAAAGTAACATCTAGTAAAATCGTCAAGCCCCTGCTTTCTTACCACATACAAAAACACAATCAGTTGTATTTTCAGAAGATGTTGTTGTCGTTATGTTGTTGTTATCGATCCAGGACAGTAGATGTCAAATGGTCAAATGTCAGGACCAGGAGAGGAACACCAGCACCTGCAGTGCAACAGGTAAGCCTTTTGCTTTGAACACAAACCTTGTGAGTTCAATTACTACCTTTGGTACACATTTTATCAAGTATCTTTATCCTTATATTAAGATAACATATCCCTCACAGCCACGGCTGACCCCAACAGGCAGCACCCAAGCAGCCTGTCTTTTAAAACTGAATTAAAAAAAAAAAAAAAAAGCTATAATGCCTTTTTGGCAGACCTACTTGGGGCAACTGTCTTGGTCAAGTTGTTCTCAGACTTAACTCATTTATGTAGGGCATAACCAGACACCTATCTAAACTGTGTACTTTTGAGTCTCACTTCAGTACTGAGATACAATACGCTCACATCCAGTAGTAAATCAGCAAAACTATAGACAGCACTACTATGACTATGCATGTGACAACTGTGTGCATACGTATGATGTGAAAAAAAAAGAAGCAAAAGCAGTATCAGATCAGGGAAAAAATCTTTGGAGGGAAATGGTAGAGACAGATCATAAGAAAGGCATCATTATCACGAAGGAAAGGAGATATCCAAGCGTCATCCTTCATGTACCTACAGCATGAGAACAGAAACCCCCAGATGACTATATCTGTGAACATGCCAATGGAAGACCAACGCACACCTCACTTACCCTCTCACAGTAATGCACGAACATGGTTACAGGAATCTCACCTGACTTAGAGCCGCTCTGGGGTTGTTGATTCATCAGTTTTGTCATGGCTGCCAGTGGACACCCTGACAGGCTGCAACAATGTAAGAACAGTACAGTGGCACACGCATACTAGTCAATACAAAAAAACTTTTGGATCACAGATTCCCATTACTTTTATATTATCTTTACTTGACACTGTCAACAAACACTTATGAAATGTTACAAACAGCAAGAGGACAGAATAACTTAAGGTCAAACACAAGTCATGTAAAAAACACACTGAAAGCTCAGTAGGCACCATTGTGGGCTATGGTGTAGAAAACCCTTATTCAAATCCCCAATGGGGCATTCTTGAGCTTCATTGTTTTTAAAAGCTTCCCACGCCTTAGTGTCTTAAATAAACTAACTTTTCAAAAGTATGGCACAATTAAACTACATCTGGAAAGGCAGGGGAGTACCTTGAAAACTCAAAGTCAGAAGTTTAAAAAAATCTGATATGGCCTATCATTCTGTATGGGAGTGAGGCCTGGGCATTGAAAAGGATACTAAAAACAGAGTTCAAGCAGCAGGAATATTGTGTTATTATTGCTTTGGGTCAAATGGAAAGACAAAAACAACGAAAGAGTCCTGAAACAACTTGATACACCAGATAGTATGCTTTCTAAGATCAGCAACAGAAGACCTAAATACCTGGGTCACACAAACAGAGCCATGTCATACATATACACATTGAAAATGTAAGATCTGACAGGGGTCAGGAAAGAATACATCAAAGAAGAGACCAGGTAAGATGGAGGCCCGATGTGGCAAGGGACGGGGCACCAATAGATGAAAATGGCCTTGGTGGATAGGGACAAGTCTTTCAAATTGGCAATAAACTCACACCATGCATACCACACAATAGACAAACCGTATTCCTGGCCCACCATGTAGAATTGCGTCCCATAAGGTTGCACAGAAGTAAAAACAGCTACAACAGAGTGCCTACCTGCGGTGAGTGCTGCGGTTGTTGTTGATGTGGCCCCGCCCATTACATCCTGGGGTTGGGCACCTGAAAGAGACCATAAATCATTAGAACTCACTCCCTTGTTCATCATTACAAGCAAAAACTTTCAACATGGCACTAGTACGGTAGAGTTCCAGATTTGTTGTAACCAACTCCCCACTCCACCATGCCCTTCTCTGTTTTGTTTTCGTAAGTGTTTTACGGTCCTCGCAACTGCATAAGGTCATATGAGTGCGCTGGATACATTTAACATTTTCAGTTGGTAAAAAATTTTGAATTTTGCTCCGGTGGCGGCTAAAGCCTACTCTTATCGATTTTAGACCACCAAGGGATCTTTAACGGGCGCAACATGCACACGGGACCTCCGCGGTTTTTCGCCCATGTCCGAGAAGGCCAGGTGCAGATCTTTCCTACCAGAAGATCAGGGGTGTGGCTGAAAGTGGTAACAAGGAGCCAATTAGTAGCAGTAGAAAGGCTGCAGAAAGAGCCAGGAGCCCAGAAGAGGGGGCAAAGGAGGTGAGGGCAGAAAGTGGAGACGAAAGCAGATGATAGAACATTGCTAGAGAGCAGGAAAGGAGGCGAAAGGAGACAATTTTACAGATAAAAATGTTTTGGTCACTACCCTGATTCGAACCCGGGACCTTTGAATGAGAGGTGAACATCTTAACTTCTAGGCCACGAGAGCCCACTATGCCCTTCTTTAATCTCACTGAGCACCACATACTCATTATAAGGCACTTCACATTTACATTATACACAACTGCAGTATACAGAATTCACAATTGCAAGAAAGCTAAGCTCCTTGTGACAGGCACCTTACCTGAGATTCATTTCTTTCTTCAACAGCTCTGAAAAGAGAAATCAGGACAAGATATAAAGTCAGAATCACGTATGGCGACTGTTAGGAATAACTTCAACTGACAGAAATCTAAATGTAAAAAAGAATCCAGTTTAAATGTCTGGAGAACATTTGCTTATCACGGATGGCCACAAATGGCAATTTGAAAAACGAAACAACATTCTTGAGGATCAGGGAAAAAGAACAACTCCAAGAAGCAGTAACTATTTATGTATCCACTGTTACACAGAAGTTTAGGATAAAGGTCAGGGCAGCTTGCACCCGCTTCAATACAGGAATTTATAGGGACGGTCTGGAAACAGCCTAGGAATATATCAACACATTACATGTATTTTGGTGTTAACAAGCCCATTTTTCTACTTGAGCGATGTGGCGGAAAACCAAGATATAAAGACAGATGTAACAGACCAAAAAGAACCTCTGAGTGGCACCCACTAACCTCTACAAAAAATTCCAACTAGATTGGAGACCAAGCAACTTCAGGTAGGTATAAGGTTAAGGGAAAAAGGAGGGGAAAAAAGCAGCAAAATAAGTATCAAATTAGAGCTGCGACTGAACATGCTATGGACTTACTTTCAAAGAGATTAGAGGGCATGTTGGCTCTATTGGGACATCCAGACAGGCTGAAACAGACACAGGAGACATTAGGGGTGGGTAAAAAAAAAAAAAAAAGGAATAAAATACCCCCCACCACCCTGATCTTATAAGTGTCATGATTCTGAACTATGACAAACCAGGATGGTCAGTTATCACGTAAACTGGTCAAAAATTTGACTTGGATCTCTTCGTGATTGTGTCAAATATTGCAAAAATGCTCCTTGAAATGCGTGGGTACAATAACCCAGATAAGTTAAGACTTGTACATCAATTCTTCTCAGCTAATAAAAAAAAAAAAAAGCTCACTTACAAAAACTACCAGTTTTAGGCCAGTGGCAATTGGTCTGACTGAAAAAGGTTAAAATTGCCTAAATTAGGGGAGACAAACTCATCAGAGTTCTATAGGAATGGGAGGTCTTGAAAAGCTGAGTGATTGTGCTTACCTGCGGTGATGGGTGTAGAGGCCAGTCACATGGCCAATTCCATCACAAGCCGGCACGGGGCATGCCTTGGCTGTGGGAGACGACAATACAGAGAGCAAAAGTCAGACTAATATAAAACACACTCTAAGGGCAAAGCTCAGACTGTATAATCAAGCAAACTGTGAAGCCAATGCTTAGACTGTATAACCAACCACATTCCAAGGGAAAAGATGTCAAACACACTCCAAGGGCAAAGATCAGATCGTATTATCAAATATAGAACGTAAAACTATTATCAAACATTGAATAGAAAAGCAATAAATTGTCAGACTTATCATGGGTACACCACAAGCCCTGGGGTCATCAGATAAACAACAAAGGGGCAAAGATAAGACAACCCTCAAACATACGCATGGGCAGAGGCAGACTCTAATATCAGATACACAACAGAGGTGCCCCATGGCTATGAAAAAAATTCTAACATTTTTGGATCCCATCAAAACACGCACACAGGGACTAAAAATTTACAGAAACATATCTCATACATCTTGTATAAAGACTATCTATAAGTGCAAAATAAGGACAATTTCAGAAACCTGAATTTCCCGATTTATCAAGAAAATCGACACCTCTAAAACAAAACTTACAGGCAACCCCCCCCCCCAATGCTGTAACACATGGAACTCACATGATTTTTTCAGCACAACCGAGCACACAAGAACTTTGATACAACAAACAACAAAAAATTAAAATTTGCAGTCACACATACATTCAAACACAAATGAAGATATCAAAACCAGAATATAACTATAAAGTCCCAACGGATGGACATCACCAAAACTAACATAAATAGTAGTTTTTGTGGCTGGCACAGTTCACAAGAGTAGACCTAGTTGTATGTATTATATACATTATACAGCCTTTTCATGTGCCAAATTTCAGCACAAACAGCTAAAAGTCTTTAATCTGAAGGCGATTTGCGCCTCCCAATTTATTCATTTTTAAAACTGCAACTCTGTAACTTACCTCTCTCCCGTCAGGGAGTCTTGCAACAGAGCTTTCTCCACATTCATAGGCTTGCAAAAGCCAGACATAAATTAAACTACACATAGGAGCAAAAGTCTAGATTGTCACAACATCAACCAGACAGATATTCAGTATCGACCTCTCTCATAACCTAATGATTTCACTTTTTCTGGTCCCTACGACAACTGACCCACCTATTACAATTAGAAAAGTTTATGGGGTCAGACGAATTAGGATCTAATTTTAGAACCAGTTTTTGCATTGAGAAAAATTGCAATGAATTGCTCTTACAATAAAAATGACTGGGGCTCTTATAACAAATTAATAGAAATTTCCTGTCCACACACAGATGAGAAAGATATTTAAGATGTTTGAAGAGATGAGCGGGTAGATATGAGGAAGTAGGAGCTACTCACGTCCCATGATGTGTTTATCTTTCATCTCATACTCCATCTCTGCTAGGTCTTCTGGGCTGTACTTGGTCAGGATGACTTCTGTGGGCGGGCCTGAGCTGGACTCGGCCTGAGCCATCAGGGTGGACGCTGAGCTGGACTCTGTCTGAGCCATTAGGGCAGACACTGAGCTGGACTCTGTCGGAGCCATCTGGGCAGACACTGAGCTGGACTCTGTCGGAGCCATCTTGGCAGACACTGAGCTGGACTCGGTCTGGGCCATCAGGGCAGACGCTGAGCTGGATTTAGTTACGGTCAAGTCTTGGCTGGGCGTCATAAATTTCTGGCTCCCAGTGCTGATCACTTCAATCAAATCTGAGTCACTACTCTTGAGTGAGGACACACTGGGGGGCAATGTTTGTGTCCTCTCTTCCCCAGCAGTGACCTCTTCTGTCATTGTATCTTTCTCTTTCACAATTCTACCACCTCGCTCTTTAGTTAAGAGATAACTAACTTCTGGGGCTCGATGTTTGACTCTTGGTTTGGTCCTCTGTGGATTACTATTAACCATTGGTTTGGTCCCCTGTGGATTACAATTAACCAGTCTGGGAGCACGGCGTGGCAAAATGCAGAGATCTCGTGGCACATACTCTGACTCTGTCTTCACAGTTGGCTCCTGTCGGCACGTTGCCTTCGGGTGGAAGTCTGCTACAGAGCAGATGATGGGTGCACTGGAACACCGCTGCTGATCTAGGAAGGGCTTTAGGAGGCTCACCTTTTTGTTAGAGCGGATCTTGTCACTCACCAGGGACATGGCTGCAGCCATTTCAGATGTCATACTGCCCTCCACCAGACCTGAGGGATTGCCGGACAGCAGGATGATGTCAGGGCTGGCATCAACATTTTCTGTCGCTGGTGTTTTCTTCACATTAATGATTGCAGTCTCCCCACAAGCCATGCGCACCTGCAACAGTGATGTGGCCTCTGGGTTTGGATCTGGATCCTGCACCAATATTGATACAGTACGTTTCGGGTTCATATCCCTGTAGAGCTGACCCTGCACATTAGAGCTACCTTCAACTGGCAGGGGTGGGGCACTCTTTGTGTCTCTCACAGTGTGAAATCTTCCTGGACCATGCTCACCAGCAGTCTCACGGGACAAATGCGCTGAGGAGGGAACTGACCCTGCTTCACCTGCAGAATCAGTCACAGAAGAGACAGATTGCAAAGAGCTAACCATAGGAGACATGCTTAACAGAATGGTCTCCTTTTCACAGCTCGTCTTTACTGAAGGCTGTTCTTCACTTGGCCTGACTTTTCCGCAGGAATTAGATTGTGGAGATGCAACAGCAGCAGACATGCATACATCACTGGCTTCTACATCGCCAGTCTTTACAGAAGCCTGTGCTACATTTGGCTCTCCTTGCCCACAAGAACTGTCTCCAGTGCTCGCTACAAGACCAGCAACAAAGTCCTCCTCAGCATTACAGAAAGTGTCTCCTGAGGACAACATGGGCCATGTGCTCCATTCTGCCACCACCTCAAAATCATCCGCCTCCTCCTTCACCTCCACCAGGTCAGGCACCGGTGAGTGAGGACGAGGGTCCAGGGATGAGACTTCACCCTCCTGTAAGTCCTCAGGCTCTTCCTTCACTTCAACATTTGTCTCAAAGTTTGATGCATGCCCTGCATGTTTCATCAGTGCCCTCTCTGTATCTTCCATTGAGGCAAAGGCTATCTTCTCAATGTTCTGCTGCACCAAGAGCTTGGGAACATAGCTTTTCTCCAAAACCTCTTCACACAACTCACTGTCCACCTCCTTCTTCATGTCCTCTTTTAAGTCCAGTAATTCTTCCTTAATTTCAATTTTCTTCCAAAGTTCAGAGTCCCCCCCCTTATCCTCCTCTTTGTCTTTCTGTTGTGTCTCTTGTGTCACATTCTTTGTTGTGTCAGGTTCAAACTTGTCTTCTCTACCACTTACCTCTCTCTCAGCATCACAAGCTTCTGTTTCCTCCTCATGTGGAGATTTAAGCTTCTCATGGGTCACCCGTTCACTCTGATCAGTTTCACAAGATCCCATACATTCCTGTGTATCACTAGGAGACTGATGCCTCTCACCCGTCTCCGAGGGCTCTACAGGACATTCCAGAGCAGCACCAGCGAGAGGACAGCCGACCATATCCTCACTGGCGGCCACCTCCCCTCCACTGGTCAACATACTGTCAACAACTCCGCATTCTGACAGTTTTTCTGAACCTACGGAAAAGCAAACCTGTGCAGCCTTTTCTTCCAGTTCATCCAAAGCCAGCAGAGCTCCCCCCTCTCCTGTGGCGCCTTGGTGACCAACATTTCTGTGGTCTATCTCATGGGCTGCAGGAGCCTTGGACTGATCCATTGTCTCAGTTGCAGAGACAGGCATCACTGGTTTGTCTTCAAACAGTACAAGTTCCTCCTTAACAGCCCCAGATTCTGTGACTGTGGCATCCCCCTCTTGTTTGCACTGTTCGGTAAATGTACCCCCACCATCCCTACACACATCATGCATGCTTGTCTCCTCAACTTTCCCTCCAGGCTTTGACAGCCCATTGGGAGTACAAAATGAATCCTTCGTGCATCCATCTTGCATGACTGTCTCAATACTTCTCCCCTCAACTATCACATCTGTACTGCCCTTGTTCATCATCTCATCATCATCTGTGCCAATCAAATCCCCAGGAACCCCTTCATCGCCTACGTCCATGACTTCCTCAACTTCAGCATCAACTGCTAGAGGACCACAACTTCCCTCCTTGCTCTGACAGTCAAGAGTGCCGGTCAAAGCCTCCCCCTGCACTTCATCCTCACCACCAGCAGACACACCAGCCGTGGCTACATTCAATGCCTCTGATCCTGTACGATACAACAACATATTCTCTTCCACTACCTGAGCCAGCTGATCCCTGGCCTTGGTCTGTCCAGCAGTGTGCAACTCATGACTCTCATTGGATGTAAGATCTCTGACTTCTAACATGGAGCCTGAAGACAATGGATCAACTTGTACAATATCAGCACCATCAGTATCATTGTCCATACTGTCAGTCTTGACTTCAATTATTTTAATATCATCCTCAGTTTTTATTCCCATTCTGTTTGTTTTTGTCTCAACATCATTACTGATTGCATCTTCCACACTTTCAGTTTTGACCTCACTGCCGTCCTTCTTGTTTTTATTTATCCATTTCTTAGTTTCTATTTCAAGGCTCTTACTGTCAATATTATCAATCTTTTCTTCATCAGCATTATCAGCTGTGTCCTCAGTACTTTCAATCTTGAGTTCAACAACATTGTCATCATCTTTCAATGAATGTTCATCTTCCTCTGGGGCGTTGGTCTTCGACGAAGTAGCCACCTGAACTTGCTCATCTCTCAACCTATCTACAGCTGTTTGCACACTGAATCTATCAGACTTTCTCTTCTTCCTTGTACTTTCCCCCGTTTCTTCTTCTTCCCGGGTTCGTTTTTGAGACACTGGTTCTGCCGGCTCCTTCACCACCCTCTCAACAACAGTATCTTGCTTGGAGCTAGGACTGGCCTTTGCACCTACAACCCTTGACGAAGAAGTGGCTTTGGGGACCCCGATAGCCTTGGCATTAGCACAAGCTTTTGGGGATCCGCTTGGCTTGGGACTAGTTGTAGTAATAGCAGCAATCGTATTTTTCTTGTCCAAATCTGCATCTTTCCTAGCCTGAGCACGTGTGCCACGGTAACTGCTGCTGACGGTATCTCCCTGTTTGTCCTTTTCTTCTTTCTTCTGACCAGCAGAAGAAGGGTTAGCATCCTTCACGACTCGGACAGGAGACTTTGATACAATGCCCTCTTGCTTCCCACACACGTCTTTGTCTTTGGAACTGGCCTCACTACTACTGCTCCTTGTGGCTGCTCGGACTGGAGATTTTGATGTTGCAGCACCACCTACCTTAGCACAACCCTCCTTGTCCCTTGGGTTGGACTCGGTGTTACTGCTTCTTGTGGATGCTCGGATAGGAGAATCCTTCCCTTCTCTCCTTCCTCTCGTCTCTGCAGGGCTCATTTTTGTAGTCATGGGTTCCGCTCGAGTGCCAGACCTCGAACTCCGGGGAGACGGCTTTGCATTATCCTCCTCAGGACTCTCATTCCTTGTCTTAGCTACAGAAGGCTTTTTATTCCCCGTCTCTTTCTGTTCAGGTTTGGGTGAGACTTTCAGAATTTTCACATCTCCAGATGCCTCCCGAGCACTGAGAGTGCTGGAAGTTGAACGGAGTTTCCCTCTTGCTGAAGAATTTGCAACACTACTTTTCGATTCGTTCCTGTCAGTAGCAGAGGAAGGTGACCTGCTGTCAGCACTTCCACTGCCTTGCCTCCTTGGGCTTTTTCCTGTCCCAATTTGATCCTCCTTTTCACCACCACTCTGTCTCTCTTTGCTGTCCCCTCTAGATGTGTGACCAGAAATCACTGCAACCTCGCTGGTTCGTGTTGCACTTCTCCGACTGGCCCGTGGCGGACTGTCCGCTACATCATCAAGCACAAGCTCTCTTCTTGCCAAATTTTTCTTCCCACCAGCCCCAACTGGGGTTGCGGGGCCAGCATTTTGTGGAACTTCCTTCCTCAAACTAGAAGCTCTTGTGGAACTCCCACCACTGGGCTTTCCTTCTGCCTCTACAACACTGGTGGACTTGGCTGAACTTGATGAGCGAGATGACCGAGAGGTGTCAGAATGCTCTGACCTCCCTAGTGACGAAGATGTGGCAGATCTCTTCTCAATTTTTGACCTTTTAGACAGACTGGGCTCTTCTTGCTTCAGCTTCTTCGCTGCAGCCAGTGGGCATGTGGCCAGCCTAAGTGGGGGAAAAAAGAGAATAAACTCAAAATCAAATTACTGATCAGGACAATTTCACCAGAAAAGTACACATATATCGAAACTCAAAGTGTGACAGAATCTGACAAGTTGTTTTTTTAGTCTTATACATTGCACACTTATCACTCAAATGCCAGAGAAAAAGGACAAATGGCAAGAGGGCAGACCTCCTCTCCCACTTTTCCACAAAAAAAAAAGAAAGAAAGAGAGATGAAAGCACACTTAATACAAGCACTCTCAAAAACATGGGTACAGAACTGCACGAGGCACTTCAGCATAAAGAAAACTTTTGTCACCTACAAAAGACATGAGCCCAGATAGGAGGAAATTTAAGAGTAAACGTATTGCTATTTGCCAAGACTGGAAGATAACAAAATGGACTCTAGAAAAGTACAGAAGGAGAGAGTGGTCAGTCCATACTTACGTTTTGTGGCTGGAGAACTTGTCATTTATATGACCTTGACCACAGCATCCAGAGAAGGTACATTTCTGCCCAGCGCTGAAACAATACAGAATTTAAAAAAAAATTATAGAGATTTACCAGCTTCATTATTTAACACTGTGAGCAACACTGGAACAGACAAACAATATACTCTCTTACTTCTTAAGTCCCACGATGCATTTTAAACCTGCTATTATGTCTCATCTTACAGTCTTCTCAATCACAAACTGATTCCATCAGTACCCTACTACTAACTACTAGGCCGTGCATTAAATGACGTATTAAACCACATATGTATAGAGGCAAAATACAGAGGATCACACAGTTGCTCCAGGGGGGAAAAAGCCCACATAATCAGTATCACAAACATAAGGACAATACATTTCAAAAAAAGAAATATGTTATTTTTTCTTTTCCTGTCTGCCCACGACACCGTGGAATCAGACACTGGTCAATTTTTGGGCACGTTTAGTTATTGGTATCATTTAGCTCACTCCCAACTATCCCTGTCACCGTGGCGATCTATTTCAAGTCAGGCTTCCCGACTATTCTCGCCACCGTGGCGATCCTAACTTTAAATTTTTTTTCCGCCTAAGGGATCACCACTGTGGCTAGAAACGTTGCATGCAGGGAAAGTATTCTCCAGTCATTTCCCCTTAATTTGATCCAAGTTTCGTTTCGCTCAACTCCGGGTAAAAATTTTATGAATTTATCAGCTGACCTACCCTCGACTGTCCGAAATGGCGAGCTCCAGCGGTTCCAAGCCGAAGCGTAATGCAGCAAAATTTTTTGCAGTTTCACAACTCTCTGCTATCTTTTGTGCTGTTTTGGGGCATCTATCCTCATGGGAAATGTTTTCTGATTTAACAAGCTTCTCCGGTAGACATATTTTACCACCAATAAGAAAATGTGTCAAATTCAAAAACTTGTAAAAAAAAAATATTTTAAAAAGTACAGAAGATAAACACACTGTTTTGAAACACATTTCATTATACAGGGTGATCCCAAAACCCCCCCCCCCAACAAAACGGTACAACTTTTTTTCTAAATATATCGCACAAAATTTGTACTAGATCTAGAATGTTGTAATTTGAAACAGATATTATTATCACCCAGCCGTGCAGTGAACTGAAAATGCAAAACTAACTTGTGTTTCGCACGCTCATATGACCTTATGCAGTTGCGAACGCCGTAAAACCCCATACTAAACAAACAACAGATATAATTCATTCAACAGGAATTTGTTTGACATAAAATTCACAAAGAAGAAACTTATTTTAGAAAACGGAAACGGCTTTTATAAAAATCACGTATAAATGCAAAATGCACCAATTTAAAAGATCTTGAAAGGAAAGTCATGTAATGATTGATTTGTTTTTTCCTTTCCTTTTTAAAATCTAATCTTTCCACCCATGTAACCTTTAAACAATATTTTTTTTCCTACAGAGTAAAAAACATTTTTTTTTAAATTCTGAAATTCTGAGAACCAATGATCCCCATATATGTCCTCCTAGGGACTCAACACATTTTAAGGCGTCGTTCGTAATGTTTCAGTGGTGGCAAAACACAAGGATCCACTCAACCATGAGTACTCAAAGCCACACACAATGTACACCTTACAGTATGGAGCTGGATTTTGTTAAGAGACAATAGGGAAGGAGGGGGGGGGAAGGGAGGGGTGAGGTTGCCCAAATAGACAGCATTTGTGGAGTTGATATAACCTGAAAGGTGAATATGGGCTTTGCCAAGGAACCAAATGTCATAGAGGAAATGTTCACACTTTTCAAGACGATTGAGGAATCATGAACACATTACTATCCTCTGATAGCTTCGTGAACAGGAAAATGGTACAATAGTAGATGACGTTCTGCCTTGAGAATGTGGACTGTTGAGAATGAGGAAAGTCATAGCAGCAGACATTGTCTACGGACAGACATCTCATGGGGCTCATCTACTGAATTCTGCACGCTGGTGACGTTTAAAGGGGTGGTCATTTCGACTGGGAATTATTAGTTCTGATTCTCTGCAGATCCGAACTGACGGACCATTTCCACCCCTGACATCAAAGAAGGCCTTAAAGGCATTTTAACATTATTTCCGTACCTTGCGCGAAACTTATGAAACAAGTTGGTGGTGAGGAAATGTTCAATACAAAAAGCTCTCTGCTCTTTATTAATCTAAACCATGATCTCAGCAGGCAGAGGAAACTTGAGAAAAACTACCTGCAAACTTCTGTTGGCCTGTTAGACTACTGTAGTTCGCACTATGGCGCAATCATTGGGAATTTTAGTGGTAGGCCTTTATGCAAACAAGTGCGTCATGCTACAAAAATGGGGACATAGCTGAAAATGGGTTGTTTTTTTACACACCATGTAGAGATTCTGTCAATTTTTCTAAAATGAATGAATATCAGACAAATTCCTTTTGACTCCCAAATGTTGTGCACAAATTTGAAGTGCAAAACTTCAGTGTGGAGGAAAATATTAACAAAAAAAAGTTGTACAAATTTTTTGGGATCACCCTGTACTTTTTTAACACAGCAAACAACAAGTGTGTATCTTGAATACATTTGTCACACTGATTTTTTTTAAACACCCCAAAACTGCGGTAGCTGGGGCCAATCCGCAAAAAAATGTGCAGTTGTGAGTGTGCTAAATGCTAATTCATTTTCCTTGCTTTCAATGAAAAAAATACCCGTGTATCTAGAATAAAAGTCGAGATATTTGCGATTGAATGAGGTGGTGTCGCCCGGATGCAGTGGTAAAATTAGCGACAAAATGGCCGCCAAAGTTCTGTAACCTCAAAAGCTCAAGAGCATTTGACTTTGAAAACTGCAACATTGCATAATATTTCAAGTGTCTTTAATCAACGTTGTTCAGTCATATTTACAGGGAAATGTGCTTTAGTATGGATGTGAAAGGTGTTGAGCCACAAAAAAAAACAAAAGAAAAGAAAAAAAAAAAACCTTCGATAAAAATTGCCAAACTGGTGGGAAAAATGCCTGTTTGTCCGATTTCACCATTTTGATGGGCACCTGATCTCACCACGATGCCTCACATAATGCTGCCAGAAACTATAACTGCCATGACCCTGTACCTCAACTATGAGAGTTCTGAGTTCCACCAACATACACAATTACCAAACAGTGACACGCAGCACCATATTACATTCTCACCTAGGAGAACTCTCTTGTCCTTTGTCAACACCTTGTTCCGAAGCTAAAAAGACAGACGAGAAATACAGTTATAACTGATGTCATATAATAGTAATAGCATAACAAATCTAAAAGAACAAGCTATCTAAAAAAAACACCTCACAATTCTTCACTTGACGGAAAGAGACAGAAGAATGACGTTTATCCAAAAAAGATGGCAGTTTTGTTATCAAAAATGGTAGTAACACAAAGAAAGTTCTGACAACTCTGTCATTATTTAAGAAAGAGAAAAGGATTTTCATTACAGAACTCCCAATAATGGTTACAACAAAGAATAAATATTGCACACTTTTGATAGGTTAACTTCTAAAGATAAGACGAGATAAAGATAAGAAAATACTTTAAAATCTCAGCGGGAAATTTTTCTTGGCTGTACAGGACCGCAAAAACACATCATGCAGGTGTACATAAAAATCTCAATTATTTTATGCTCCCATTAAAATTCAATATGACAGGAGAAGTAAAGCTGACAAAATGTACATACCACATCAGATGTATCATTCAACCACAAGCAGAAATTTAATTAAAAGACCTATAGAGTATATAGATACATACTCGGAACAGCACCATTTACACATATTGATGCATATTCTGACAATAGCCTATGCTAGATGGTAAAAAAAACCTTCTTTTTCTTTCTTTCTTTGTTTTTAGAGGTACATATCTGCCGCTGCGTGATCTGACTCTAAAATGAAAACAGCAAATTAACCAACCACACTTTTAGTCTAAACTAACTTCAGACTAAGTCACACTTTCAGCTTTTGAATTTTACAACTGGGGCTAAAACCCATAACCCTGAACTCTCCTCCTACACATTCTCATGAGGGCGTAGACTTTTGTAGATGATCTAAAGTCATGCTTCGGACAGCATAAAACACAACAGTGCTCAGATCACATCACCAAAACCTAGAATGAAATATGACTCGAAAAAAATATTTGTTAAAACCACTATCCGAATGTTTTACCTCAAATCACTACACATACCTCTTTTTCTTGAAGGAGCCATAGCTTTAGATCAGACAGCTCAGGTCAAAGGTCACCTGGAATAGCCATTAAAATTGCAGCGATAAAAAAATTAACAAGTCTAAAAGTAGTGTTTGCACTAACGCCCTGTACAAAATGTGATAAAAAATACATTTCAGCTGACATCACCTCAAGGCTCTCCATTATTAAACAGACAAGAGTTACGTTCCGCATTTACTTGTACTCAGTACTTTCCCTTCCTGAACTTTCCAGCCATCCTGGGAAACAAGGGATAAGGAAGTGTTCACCTTCAACAAACATTGACAAAGTGGTAAATTAATGTGCATGGCCAAAACACAGTAGTTCTGGCAACATTGACTGCCACTGATCTGTAGAACTACAGTGAAAAGATAAATTGGGGTTTTTACGCATGAGCTAGCCAATAATTATAGTAAACAACACATCCTTCGGATATCCAAGGACAAGTCCAGCAAAGAGAGTTTTTGAAAAACAAAAATATATAAATACAGACATACAAGAGGTATTTCTTTTTATATTTTAATATCACAAACTTTTAAAAAATGCAGCACAAACACACAATGGATAATATTTCAAAAAGCGATTGGGTCATATTGACAAAACTTTTCTGTTTCCTACACCTTATATTCTACACTGATATAGATGACGACAAAATTCTGGCAATCCCCTAGGAATGCCCAAAAGTGTCAACATAAATTGAATATTATAACACTATCAGATCAGACATGATGCCAAACGCTCCATGATCAAAAATAAGAGTTTTTCTCAAAATCCTACCTGAAAATTGGAGTTTGGGGGGAGGGGGAGGGACACACTGGAGTCTCCAGAACCCCAGACTTAGATTAAGATTACCTTACGAACCAACTATATATGTGGCAAATAAATGTGTGCGTACCACAAACACATGCAAATAAAATTATATTTTCACGTCATTGATTATGCAAGAATTGCAAATACACATGTGTATTTCCATGTCATTTACAACATACGTATATATACAGATTGAAACGGTTCAGGAAAAAAATAGGGCTTTAAATGAAAATCTGATTGGCTTGGCGTTCTTTTAACAGAAAAATATAATACGAGGGCTCAGATTTTAATGGAGTACTTGGAAGGTCTGCTATAACTGACTGACAAGTTTTCTGAAAGCAGTCTGAAAAGAATGTTGTTACCTATTTTACTTCAAAGCCATGTTCATTTGAATTTGTCAGTTTCTATTCAGCAAAGGTCTTTTATTTGTTTTTTTGTAAGTGTTTGGCGGTGCTCGCAATTGTATAAGTTAATAAGGTCATACGAGTGCGCGGGACACACCTGACATTTTCAGTTGGTGGGACATTTTGAATTTTGCCCCAGTGGCGGCCGAAGCCTACTCTTATCGATTTTACACCACCAAGGGATCTTTAACGTGCGCAATTTGTACACGGGCCCTCCGTGATTTTTCGCCCGTGTCCGAGAAGGCTAGGTGTTTTGCATTAGCACTGAAGTATTTTAGCATATTAGAGAAAGTACTCAAAATGTACTCATAAGTACTTTTTTAAAAAGTACTTGTACTCAAGCTCATTTTATAGGAAAGTATTATTACTGTACTTAAGTACATATTTTAGATTATACTTAAATTTGTACTTAAGTACCATTTTAAAAGTACTTTAACAGCTCTGGCCTGGTCGTGCAAACAGTGTCGGAGACAAAGAAATTTAAGGGCTGATTAATTTTTTGAAGGATCTCATCTGAGTCTCACAAAGTTGTTGGATATCATATTTACCTTGGTCTATGGCATGGATGTACGCCAGCATTTTGTCTGCGAGGAAACCGGTAGGAGTCGAGCAACTGTCATAGACTGGCAGAAATTCATTAGAAATATACGTGCTCAGTATCTAATGGATCATCCAGTGCAGCGTGGAGGACCAAACAAAACTGTCGAAGTGGACGAGAGCAAATTTATGAATAGAAAATATCACCACGAGGAGCATACAAAGGCCATTGGATCCTCGGCATTATTGAAAGAGAAACAAACCACTGTGTCCTCATTCCCGTTCAGTGTTCAGGGCAGGTCGGCAGCAACACTGCTCCCCCTCATCCATTAGCATGTTGCTCCCGGTACCGGAGAATAACAGTGGGCAGCTTACAACTAACTTCCAAACCATTCTACAGTAAACAATCCCCTCCATTTTGAGGATCCAAATGATTCCATGGTTCACACAAACCGCCTCTATTATTAGAAAGGATTGGGGCAACGTGAAAGCCACAAATACCGTTCAATGCATTGGATATCTGACAAACTGTTCCACTCGTATTGCAAGAATTTATGTGGAAATAACAATTTAGAGAAAACACTTTTAGAAATAGGCCTATTCTTTTTATTTTATCTGATTTCCTTTTTATTACTGTTTAAATGTAGATATAAATTAACTGAAATGCTTGGAATTTAATGTGAAAAAGGAAGGGACCTAAGCGAAACAGGCCTAGGCTATAAAAAATTAAATTTAGCAAAGACCACGAAAAACCTTTTTTTGTCAGAAAGTGTTTGCAAATAGGTGCATTTTGTAGCTGTATCTCCAAGGAGAACAGAACTTTTTGAATTTTTGAAATCCATCAATAAACAAAAAAGTTACGAATTTTTAATCAATTAACTTTTGGTAGACTTTTAAAAATGAAAAACCCCCAAAATATGGGACGTTCTTTGGTGAGTTTTGAGACAACATTCGTCATACTCATTTCTCGGAGTATTTAAATGAAACTTGGCAGCCCAGTACATTTACTAGTGCAAAATCTAGTCCTGCTTTCAGATTTCTCATAGCTATCCTACTTTTTGAGTTATGAAGACATTTATTGGTAAAAATGTGGCAGTTTTCGGTGTGTTTTGAGACAATATTTATTTGTCATAGCTCGCCTATTTCTTGGAGTATGTAAATGAAACTTTGCAGTCTAGTACAGTTTTTAATGCAGAATCTTGTCATGCTGTCAGATTTTTAATATCTATCCTACTTTTTGAGTTGTAAAGACATTTAAAGGTAAAAAAAGTGGCGTTCTTTACAGATTTACAAAGATTATCAGTCATATCTTCTCCCAAAGTCATGATATTTGAAAGAAACTTGGCAACGTAAAAGATTCCTCCTTGCTAAGCAATGTACTGGATCAATTTGTCTCAAAAATTTAAGTAGAGAGCTGGATTTATTAGTCTTAATAAATCCAGTTCTCTACTAGTAAAAGCATGCACACTTTTGTAATAGAAAATAAGATCGTCTCTGTATAGAAATCTTATATCCAATGTTGGACAGTGTCCTATTGTGTGGTAGATTAAGATGCGTTTAGATAATATTATTATAGTTTTCAAGTCCTGGGAATATTTCGCATGTGTAGGCTACAACTCATACTATAAATGTAACAGATATTTACCCCCCCCCCCCTTCTCTCTCTCTCTCACACACACACACACGCGTGAACGATAACAATGAATAAAGGGGACTATCTTCCCAGACTGGACTAAATAAGTACCATACTCTTTAATTAAAAACAATCTTAATGCCTCACTTTTCCAAACAGAGCAAACAGGACGAGTCCAAGCGTGGGCTTTCCCAAGAGGGGGGAATAGGCTTTCAATACTTTCATAATGCAAACACAATGTCATACCATTTCTTAGATGTTTGCTTTTCTTTCTATTCTTCTCTCAGGCAACTAAGCAAAAAAAAAAAAATACTACCTCTATCGTATTGTGACTAAAATGCAACACAAATGCAAGTTATCAAGGCCCCCGTTTAGTTTTCAAGTATCCTCCCCCCCCCTTTCCAGTTCACATAAGCGGGGCCTTGTTCGTAGCGCCCGAGGCGACCGATGGCTGATGACGTTACTTAGTTGAAATTTCCCAGCTGCCAGTCGTTCACCCAACACGCGCAAAGTCAAAGGGCAATGCCGCTTTTTCCTTAGTTACTCCCACATTTTTTAAGATTACGCCAAAACCGCTAAACACAGAAGCATGAAATTTTAAGGAAATACAGAAAAATGGTGTCCAATGTATCAGTCAGTTTGACAAATCACAGCTCTGAAAAATCTTCAAAGCGCACCACATCAACCACTTTCGCAAACGCTTTCGACTGCTTCTTGGAAGGGTACAAAGTTGTCAAACTGCATACTACGAGATTGACCTCTTTTCTGATTGGCTGCCAAGTTTCATTCGTATCCATTCACGTGAAGTGGCATGAGAGCAAGTTGAAGACAACAACCTTTGCGTTAGTGCGTCCCACGAAACACCCCTGCGGCGGGGGCCAAAAATCGGCAGAACAAAATGTGCTCGGTGGGCATTGCTATTAAATTAAAAGTGGGAATCTTAATAATCGCCCTTGAAATTTGTGTTACCCTAATAAAAACATAACAGAAAAGTGCTTGGGCTTACCTGAGCATGAGACTACAGTGAACCCCCCCCCCCCCCCACCAAATTATAGACCAGCACTCTAGGGCGCTTTTTCGGTAGTTCGCACCCCGCAATACTTATTCGCCGGTTTTGGCCCCAAGAGTAGGGGAATAAAAATATGGTGGGGGATTTCAGGGGGGCATGCCCCCCTGAATTTTACCACAATTTAATGTTTTGCAGTTCTTGTTAAGTTTTGATATCTTAGCTTGCCGCGAATCAAACGAAAAGATCTAGAATCTAGAAGTAGGTCATGCTCAAGTGAGGGGGGTGGGAACTACAGAAAAAGCACCCACTCTAGATCTAGAAATCTAGCCTACAGTACTACAGTCTACGCCAGGGAGCCAGAACTAATGAATTTTAAAGTACTATTACTACACTATTGACATTGACAGCACAGCCAGTAGAGTGGTAGAATCTCTAGATCTAAGAGTCTAGATCTAGATATCTACTCAGAAGCCTACAGTATACAGTCTAGATTCTAGATCTATTCTAGATCTAGATATCTAGATCTAGATCTAGATATCTAGATCTAGATCTAGATATCTAGATCTAGATCTAGATCTAGATCTAGATCTAGATCTAGATTAGACCCAGTTTTATTTTTAGCTTCAGTGAGCCTACTGACTGACTGATGCTGTTCTTATTTTTCAGTGACAGGAGGGACAAGACCACAAGATTCTTATTAAAAACAGAAACGCAAAACACAACTAGATCTAGATCTAGATTCTAGTATCACCCAGAAATATTAGCTTCTTTTTCAACAAACCTTAATACAATTTGGGGGTGATTCACCCAAGAGTTGGGTGCAAAAGAAGCTTAATAAAAAGCTTTTTGCTAATTTAATTTCAATGTTTACTACTGTAGGCTACTTTTCGCATGCTCGATCTGCCTGGTCTGCACAATAAGAGGATTTTTAAAGCTTGGGGGCCATTTTGCGAACTCTTTACAGGCTTACAAGTAAAGGCTGCAGCATTGTGCAAGCTTAATCTACGTGCAAGTCGAGGAATGCGGTTTACTTACGATTATTAAAGCATTTTTTCATTTGTCCAAAGTTGCTTCAAACAAAGAGTGCGGGTAACTTTTCCCGACCCATAATTTGTTCCCGGAAATGCTGCCGACAGGCGCGTGCGCATAGGTTCATAAATCTTGCCTTATGTCCACATAATGGCAAAGGCTATTCAGGCTGCCCACCCTAAAACTATTTAAACTCTCTTTAATTTCAGATGTCTTGTTTGAGAAAATCTAAGATTGTCCCAGCGAAAAATAATGCAGTTTTTCTATTATTAACATCATTAGGCCTACATAAAAATATTTTTAGAAACACTTTTTAAAAAAATCATCGCATTTCATTGATGCTCACAATTCTTTGATATAATCAAACAAATTTAGCTTACTTTTACTAGACGTCTAGATCTAGATCTAGATTTTAGATCTAGAATCTAGATTCTAGATCTACGAAAAAAAAGTTTTCTGAGAAAATTTCAGCCCTTTTCAATAATATAAGTATTCACCCTGTCAAAATCTTTCTTTTAAAAACGTTTGAGGCATAATTGTTCTTTATTCGGATACTATCTGAACTTGGAAACTTGTTTTGTTCCTTTCGTTTTTTGTTTACAGTTGAGATTTGATTAAACTTTTCACAATATTTTTCGCTTCCCGACCAAAGCAAAAGCATCACACACAATAGGCGTTGAAGAGAAGCGAGAGCGAAGCGAAGTTATCGGAATGAGAGTTGAGAGAGGGGACGAGTGAGAGAGGGCGGTGGCTTTCGACATGAGACCCCAGTGATCGTTATTTGGCTTTGGTAAAGAAGCTGCTGATCGATACAGAGACGCCAAGCTAGGATGGCTGGTGTGTACTCATTTGGTTGAGATGCATGGCTAGAGGGTTGTCCTCCTCACCTTTTCATCCACCGAAAACAAACTGTGATATCTATTTCTAGAGTAGTTCTGAAATGGAACCTAGTTTCGAACGTAAACGTTCTTCTTCTCTGCAGTTAATTTGTTATTTGATTTGTCAAAGTCTTTCCCTTTCCAAACTCATTAGGATGTAACAGTGTATACTGTACAGTTGGAAAGTCATCATGCGTCAGCACAAGGATGTCGATCCCCAATATATTCTCACCAATAGTGACTACTCTAGATTCCTTGATCACTACTGTTGTGGGCAGTTGTGTGACCAGACTGACCAGTTACAATTCTTTGACTTTGACAACTTTTATGTTGTCACAACTACAGTAGTCTTGAGTCGTGTTTAGAGTCCCTTATTCCAGTACCCTGTCATATCTTATCTTTCCAAAATCAAGTCACGGATCTGTGGTCTGCAGTTCATCTTAAATTTTTATAAGATTAAGATTGTCTCTAGATTAGGCCTTTTATTTAGAAAGAACTCTAAACTGAGTTACACAATGGCGAAATCATGTGTATGCTTTTAACTGAACACAGTTAAATCAAATCCGAAAACAGCACTGGTAAACCAAAAGTCTATTTGAGCAACCTCTAGTCTCTAAAGGTTGTCTTACCAAAAATGTGGGAACTGAAGAAAGTCTGGCGGTCCTGCAGATTTCGGTTTAATAAAAGCAGACTCCACCGTATTCTTTTAACTCGTCTTTTAGTCTCTATCATTTTCAAGATGTAATGATCTTGCTAGATCACTTGAGAAGCTTTACATACATCTACTCATTTTGATGGCAGCGTAAAATACTATGTTAACGGAGTGTCTATGAACAAGGTAATCGGGCACGTAGTCTCACTACGTACACAGTAACTGGGTGCTTAGTTTCGGGGGCCCCTTGAGCTAGGTGCACGGTAATGGCTCCCTTCATGACCTTGACTTCTTTTGCTTTTGTTACCCAGAATTCTCCAACGATGGCCTGATTACTGTAACAATTATGACATAGGCCTAAAAATAATCTATTCGTTGTTCTTCCGTTGCTTTAAAAGAAAGCTTTGTCCGATTTCTGGTTACTAGGGCTTGTCATCAAGACCTGTCTGTGAGACTTTCAAAGACTCGTTCGCATCACATGGCATGACCTCCTACGTGTGAGTAGCGTGTGTGTCTGGGACCATCGGTTGTCGAGCTTAAAACACAGTTCACTCACACTGGTTGCCTTGGTCGAGGTGTTTTTCGGGACTTTACCAGTGTAGGACGACAGAGGGGAGGGGATGGGGGTATTCTTTTGACACTTGGGCTTAAAGTGCATGCCGTGATTATGATACACATACTAATTGTGGATAAAGACATTTTTAAAAAGAAATAAATGAACAACTTTGGCTCGTTTTTTTAGGGGGATGAGGAGGGGGGGTGCCTTTAGTGTGTTGCATTATTTAGGTTCACCGTTGTCTATGAGGAAACAAGACTGGTGTGTTCCATTATTTAGGTTCAACGTTTTACGTGAACCTGGATACAAATAAATACAACAGGAAAGTGGGGAAAAAATGAAAGAAGTCATGGTCATGAAGGGGAACGAAGCATTTACCGTGCACCTAGCTCAAGGGGCCCCCGAAGGTAAGCACCCGGTTACGGTGTACGTAGATAGGGAGAATACGTGCCCGGTTACCGTGTATAATGTAGACATTCCGTTACTTTAAAAGAAGTAGTGTGTCTTGACACAATCCTCAGGCACTCGTCAATTTTTGGGGCATGGAGTTAAATTGGTAATTTTTTAAAGCCTGTTCACTTACAACCTTGTTGTTCCACTTGATGAAGAAAAATGCACCTCTATATCTATCTTGAATAGATGTTGAGATAATAGCAATTGCTGGAGTTGGGGGATCACCTATTGTCAGAGGTAGAATTAGCATGAAAATAGTAAAATAGTAAGCCACTGCTTTTCAGTAAAATCCACTCAGAAATGTGTTTTTAAATGGACATAATAGCCTCACGCCCGAAATTAAGAATTAGATTAAAATTGCCCAGTGGGTGGAAAAGTCGGTTTCTTCGATAATTTCCCTTTTTTTTTTTGAGTGCCTGATTTATCACGATGCAACATGCGATGTTAAATTTTGATAGGATCAATTTGTGGCCTGACTTAGGTGAAATAATCATCTCTACAAATATGAAAATGAATATCCCTCAAAATGAATGCAGATTTATCTTTTTGTGTTTCAATGGAATTTTCAATAAATAGTAAATAAATCGCTGGCGAACTGTTAAAATGTTAACACTTTGCAGCCTCATCTCGCCGATTGGCGATGTTTACCACCCAGTTTCTTGGGATTTTTTCAAAAATATGATGGCAAAGTGTTAAGCACAATATTTTGATTTTTTTTGTGTATTTGCAGTTTCTCCGTTTATGGTATCTATTGGATGTGCTGAAGGAATATAATGTCGAAATTCAAATGTCTGAATATATTAAAAAGCAAGAAAAAAGTGCAAAATGTAGTTACGGTTCAAATAATTTAATAGTTGTTTAGAGAAGAAAACAGTTTTTTTGCCTCTCCTGTAAAACTTTGCTTTCTGGGTTTAGTACATTTTAGCAGTTTGCTGATGAAATGAATTACGATCCTGCTCAATTTTAGAAAACTTTCCTGACTTGGAGAATGTCATTTTCCTCAATTTGTTGCATTATCACACGTCATAAAATATTGCAGTGTAAGTATTGCCAGTTTATGATCTGCTATTGTAAAGATCAAGTTAGTATTCTAGTCTCTACATGATGTGCATGTGATATCTTTTTTTGTTACAGGCATCTGCGGATGCTGTACGGCCCTCAAGCCCAGGTACAAGCGACTAGTGGACAATATATACCCTGCAAACCCACAGGTATGTGACCTTCTCTTTGTATGGCTGTTGTTTTGGAAATGTTAAGCTTTGTGCTGATCCCTCTGTCTCATGAAACTGAACACTTTTAGATGTAAAGTTGTCCATGCAAGTCTGTTATTTTTATTGTAAAAATGCATGAAATTCTTTACCCCGTTTTCATTCCATTCCATCTTTTCTCAATGACTGATTATTACACTTAGCATTGATGTCAGCTATAGCTGTACACAGATAGTTCAAACATGGTGAGAGGCCCCTAGTTGCTTCTGTTCCTGTACAAGTCTTATTATGATACTGATTCTACCTTCTTGAAATTTTGCCTGATCTTCAAATTGTTCATTGAAAAGAAAATGGTGAAATGGTAATAGGTTAAATTCCCTGTCAACACTATTAGTAATAGGTCATTTATTAAGAGGTGGGATCTCCGACTTTAATGTCCCTCTTTCGAAAAGACTGAGCCAAATGGGAATTTCGTGTAAAGTACATTTGTCAAGGACACTATAACACCAAAGTAAAGTTGTTTTTGCCTTGCTGATCTGATTATAAATTTTGTTCAATCTTTTTTCAACGACATATTAAACGCTCACTGTGATACTGATTCTGACTTCTTGCGATTTTATCTAATCCTCAATGCAATATATTATGCATTCTGTTGTAATACAAATCTGGTAGCATTTATCGTTGAGTTGCATGCAAACGTTTTAATTAATTTTGAATTTTCAAGTTTTGTGCAGGAAGCTGTTTTACTCAAAGTTTGGTTCTTAAGTTGAATTTTAAAATTGTATATCTGGTGTCAAAAATTTTGCTTGATATAAACTATTCCTGGGACATATATCAAATGGAGATTGGCTTACTTTTAGCTCAGAAAAGAAAGAGTTGAAAGGTGGGAGTTTTTTTTAAGAGTGGAGGCTGGTTCAGTCTTTTTGTTTCCTCTGCAACTTTGAGTTTTGTCACAAATATAGTGTCTTTTACTGAAATAAAAATCAGTATTTTAGTCTTCTTCTTATTCTGCTCATTTCAGGATGGATTGGTCAAGAGTGAGATGGAAAAGTTCACCTTCTACGCATTGTCATCTCGACCTGAAAAGTTGGACCGGATTGGCCAGTACTTGGAGAGGAAGCTGAGTGCTGATATCAGTCGTCATCGAGTTGAGTAAGTTCAGCTTTAAAGAATTAGGTGTTTTAGACTCACCCATTGTTTAGTGAAAGGTGGAACTTATCATTTTGATTCCCCTTCTCAGAACTCCCAGGAGACATACAGTATTGCAGTTTATTAGGCATCAGGCTCTAGCAGCAGTAGTTCACATTTTTTTTCTGTCTGTTCACTGTACCAAATAGCAATTTGCCACTGGGTTACCTAAGGTATGTTAAGTAAAATACCTTTCCATCTTAGTTTGGGGGGGCAGCGGAATGTCAACAATCCCAGAGTCTTCCAAAGGTGACTTCAAGGCCTCAGTCGCTAGATTAAGAGACCTGTAGTAGTTATATTGCTATTGCTTTGATGTTGTCTGGTTCCGTCCCCTTGCAAAAGAAAGCCTCTCACAATTTTGCAACTACTATTTTGTGGTCTTGCTCATTCTGTTTTACAATGCGGTTCTTTTTCAGTTTTTCAGTATTGCAGCTTGAAAGGCTCATAACACTATCAATTTAAGATAATCTTATGTTTCACATGCCCAGACTTGGCCAGAGAAAGATTAAAGGAGTTCAATCTTTGTCAACAACTGATTGGGTACTCATTTTCGTGCCCTGCCTTGTTCATCATGCACTCTGTTTTCTACCTCTCTTTTGACAACAGATACTGAGCCGTCTTAGTCTAGAAAAAACTGAATAGCACTTCGCTACTTCAGAATTATAAAGTTCTATCTGCTCAGTACCTACTTTTGAGAATTTTGACATCAAAGATTTTGAGTTTCACATCATGTCAAGCTTTTTGGAATTCAATTCTTTGAATGTCTTGATAACAACTCCGAAAAATCTTACGATTTTAATAGAGCAGATAGAATATTTATTTTTTATTCTAATGGTTTTAGTACTCAAAATGGTTAAAAATGTTAGATAGAACTTTGTAACAATAAGTCCTGAAACATGAGAAGTTTCCAATTTGCCATTAATGCTGTCTTTCCTCTCTTTTTATCCCCAACCTCCCATGTTCAGGTATGTTTTTATTTCTATGGACATCCTGGACCAGCTGTTGGTCTCTTGCCACGCCCACTCACTCAACCTGTTTGTGGAGAGTTTCCTTAAGATGGTGCAAAAGTTGCTCGAATGTGGTGACCCCAACATGCAGATCAAAGCTACACAGTCGGTGAGTACCGAAAAGAAAGAGCAGAGTATGATGATTGTGCCTCCATCTTGACATAAAGTTTTAATTAATGGTAACTTTGAAATCTTGGAGTGGAGATAAAACTTGTTAAGAATGATTTGCAGTTGCGTCAAAGTCATGTCATTTTTCACCTTGTGTTGTTGCTGTTCTGTGTGTATGTGTATGGGGAGGGGGCTGCTTCAAATGGGAGAAAACTGTAGACTGAAGAACAAACTTTCAGTCGAGCAGTGCAATCTTTTTCTTTTACTTATGTAAACTTTGAATAAATGTAAACAAAATCTGATAGCCAAATAGTACCTAATATATGCCAGAATGAATTTTGGCTTCAGAGACAGTATAGCAAGTACACAAATGCGTGTGTACACACTCACAAACACACACGCACGCACACACACACTCACACTCATACTTACACTCACACGCTTACTCAGGTTCACCCCCTACCCTATTTTGACAAAAGAAACAGTTGCATTATTGTATGATATCACATTTTCCCCTGCCCGAATCAAATCTGCTTCTCGCTCACTTACTGCGTTTACACGTTGGGGAGAGTAAATAAAAAGTCAACCTGTGTGTAAGATTAGATGTGACATGTGTTGCTGTAAACCTTTTAGTTCCTTCGTGAGTCAGATTTGTCTTTCAATGTGTTTAATTTTGTCCCCAGTTTATGAAGTTTGCCAATGTGGAGGAGGATGCACCCTCATACCATCGACGTTACGACTTTTTTGTGTCCAAGTTCAGCTCTCTGTGCCATAACAATCAGCAGGAGGTGGAAGTGAGAAGAAAGTGAGTAACTCAGATATTGGTTCTCTTACATCTTTGTGTCTGGTAACCCTTGTCTTGTAGTAGGTATGTTGTGTGTCAGGTAAGTCACATTATGCTGTGAGTAACTCTGCCGTCTTAGGACTACAAAACGTATGTGTAATTAGATCAAGTAATTTTTCGTATAGGGAAGAAACCTTTTTTCATGGTGCGTCTTTTTGTCTTGATTTTATGGCTGTATGATTAAAACTAAGGAACTTTTGGGCTTTTAAAAATATGCATTGTGACCTAATGACATATCGATATTGTTATGACAACAGAAATGTTAGTCAATTACTCGATGACTATTTAATATACCTCAGCAGATCAGTCAAAATTTACACCGGGTAATGAATATTGACATAACATAAGGGGGGGCCTAGAGGTTAAGGTGTTCGCCTCTCATTCAAAGGTCCCGGGTTCGAATCCAGGTAGCGACTGAAAAATGTTCTTCTCTTAAATTGTCTCCTTTCACCTTCTTTCCTTCTCTCTTGCAATATTCTGTCGTCTGCTTTCGTCTCCACTGTCTTCCCCAACTCACTCGCCCCTTTGGCCCCTCCATTGAGTTCCTGACTCTTTCTGCAGCCTTTCTACTGCTACTCCTTGGCTCCTTCTTACTGCTATCTTTCAGCCACACCCCTGAATCTTCTGGTAGAAAAGATCTACACCTTGCCTTCCCGGACAAGGGTAAAAAATCTTGGAGGTCCCGTGTGCAAGTTGCCCATGTTAAAGATCCCTTGGTGATCCTAAAATTGATAAGAGTAGGCCACCACCCGGGCAAAATTCAAAATTTCCTACCAACTGAAAATATTTGGTGTGTCCCGCGCGCTCATATAACCTTATGCAGTTTGGAGCGCTGTAAAACACTTACCAAACCCCCCGCCCCCCCATAAAATAATCCAATCAACCAAATTTTAGTTAAGATGAAACACACACAAAAAGTTAATTTTTTGCCTCTCTTGTAAAATTTTCTTTTTTGGCATTTACGTTTTTCTGTCATAAGACGGCAAACCTTGTGTGTTGTGTCACTCTCATTGAGCTGATAGTACTTATGCCTTATGGGTCAGGTGACTTAGAAAAGCTCAAGTTGAACCAGTTTCGAGCAGTGAATGTATTTGCCTCCGTTTATGAGCATTCCTTTTGCATTTATCATCTTGTTCTTTTTTTTATGGATTGACTTTTTAATTTGATTTACAGTTTGCTTTACTCACATTATTTTGTTCCGGAATGGTAAGGGAAAGAGGGGTGTGGGCTACTGTGTCGATTTTTCCTGTTTCTACTATCAGTCTGTATGTTGCTTTTTGAAGAATGGATTCAAGGGTGTCCTGTTTGGATGCATGCACATAATGCATATTGGGAGGGGGAGGGGGAATTGTGTAAGGAGAGACAGACAAACCAATCACTCAAACATGAACTCATATGATATGATAGTTTTTATTGGTGATCATCGTAGCTCCTGTGAGAGTTCAAGGAAGGTCCCTCCTCTGTCTGTTAGAGGAAGCATTTTTCAGCTGTGTGTATACAATCTATATGATCAATGAAAAAGAGACGGAGAGGGAGAGAGAGAGGGGATATACATTTTACATGCATATTTATAGATGTGCGTATTTACATGAGAGAGAGGGAGGGTACGAGAGAGAGAGAGAGTGAGAGAGAGAGAGAGAGAGAGAGATCTGTTTCGGCTTTTGTAATTCAATGTGCACAAAAACGTAAGCTCAGTTCCCATTTTGGGAAGATGTTCCATTGAGCAAGAGGCTCCTGTTTCTGCTTAGTCCTGATGGGCATGGTCCAAGCTGAAGACCTCCTAAAGCATGATCTAGATTGTGTCAATGGGGATGTATAGAACTGACTGTCTTTTCAATTATGTAGGTGGGTTGTTGGCGGGTGCTCTCGTGGGGTCTGCTCCTTCTTTTTTTGTCGAATATCTGTTGTCCATATCTCTCCTCCTTTTCTTTGTCTGTTAATTTGACAGCTCTAATCGTCGGCACTCATATGACCTAATCGTGCTGCAAGCACTGTAAAATTGTTATTTAAACTAATAGATGCGGCTGTGTGATGGTGAAGTTTCAGAAGAGCTCATGCGTCAGACAGTGTCCCGACAGGCCTGGCAATTGTAATTCTTTTTTTT